AAAATTCGTCCCTGGTTGTGGTGTTTGGATATTTTCGACCAAGTTTTCGTTTATTGGTTTATTCTTATTTCGCTCACATTCCCACGGACTAGGTATTTTTTCCTCTCTGTTTTATTCAAGCTTGGTTTACATACCCCATCTTTACGGAGAGGAAGGTCGGGATTGATATTTCATTTCGGGTTTTTCGATTTTTATTATAATAATATGTTATTATATTCGTTTTTAATACAGAAAGAAGGGGAAGGATTTATTGGGGAAAAGAGGTTAGGTTTGGGGTCACGTATTAGAAATTTTTACAACATTTTTAGAAAAAAAAACCGAAATCCATCAACTCGAAACTGTTATGAATTCGCTTACAAAGAAATTCACAAATGTATACGCGGCACGCGTATAACGTCCCCGTAGAAAACTAACAACCAGACAGTATAGATTTCCCAAGAGCATACAAATCCAGAAAATAAAATGATCAAAAATAACAAACAACAGAACAGTGGAAATCGAGAAAGTGATATCGAATTAAAGCTGGGGGGGTTGGATTCTTTCCCCGTAAGCTTGATAAGAAAACTGAATCTTGGAACTCAACCACAAACGACATTCCAATATTGATCTGGTTCAGCCACCTCTATTTGCTCGCTCAAGTCCCCGAGTGATTTTGTACAAAATCACGTCGGGAAGGTCACGGGGAAAAAAGTTTTCACTACTTCTATACGAAATAGGAACTCCGAATTTTCATAAATTCGAAATTGATGAATTTAAAAATGTAACATTGATATCGCTCTTTGTGGTTATAATATTTTCCGGCCGTCTTATTTTCTAGAAATTCGTTTTCTGTTCGTTTTGCTTTCGGAATTTTTAAGGTTAATTGTTGTCTGGAGAATAATTACAGTGCTCCGTGTAACAAAATACAAAATCGTCATACCCATTATCGGTCTGGTGTTCTACGCGTTTTTTATAAGTAAAATATAGAATTATTCATTGAAACTGAAAAGTGTACAATAAAACAATACGTACCTTTATTATCAAGGCGTATAACTATTAGTTTCGGCCTAAACCATCTTTGATTTACATAGATATAAAATTTAAAAAAAAAAAAAAATCTTTCTAAATATTAACTAAGTATACAATGTACCGAAAATTGTATTTTTTTTTTTTTTTTTTCGTATCCCTACTGCTTCCACACCGTAATATCGAGCGTTATAAAATATTGTATAAATATTATATTATACGAACGTACATAACGCGGGATCGGTAAACAACGGTCATCCGATTATATAATTTACTATTCTATGCGTATACGCGCTACTCACATATACTTTAATAAACAGAAATGGAAAACGTTAACGGTCGAATTAATATCGATTTAATCGGAGAACATAAACCGGATCGGACGGAAGGAAAATTAGAAAATAAATAAATGAATGGGTGTAATCCGAACACGCGCGAATAGGTACAACGAGACCGCTCCGTGAAGAGAGCGGATGGGAATTCGGGAGGGCCGGGAGACACGAAGGCGTTTTAAGGCGATTTGATTAATATTCAAGGGCACATCTTGAATAATACAGAGTATTATTTCCTCCGTGTCAAAATACATAGGTACCTTTAGATTTAATACGGAAACAACGTTTCGACCCCGTGCAGTTTGCGCCCCACAAACTGGCCATAATATACCCACGCCCATTACCTATTGTATATAGGTACAATGCGATTAATATCAATCACACCGAACGAATATTTTACACGACTCGAACCGCCACAGTTTTGAACGATTTTTTTTTCTTATACTATTTTCGGGTCTTACTCTTAAAACGCATTTTCAGCCCTTTTTTTTTTTTTATTGAAGACCGTTTTCGAAACCGTTGTTCTTTATACCGGGTAACTCATTTAAGTGGGTACACTCATTATCTCGAAAAATATTAATTTTTTCCGGAATTTGTTTTCTAGGATAATTAAGACACAAGCTGCTCTACAATTTTATATTTATGTTATTTTTTGTCAACCTTATTTTTGGGGCAAAACCACTGCCTACTTTTGATTTTCAAATTGCAACCTATGTTAAAAAGTCCATAAATAGATGGAGTATTTTAATTAAAACAAATTTTAATGTTAAAATTTTTGATTTCCGTCGATCCATTGACGAGTATTCCACTTTTAAATTTGGGTTAGAGGAAAGTGGTGGTACATTATTAACATGCCGTGCGCCGTACCGCCACACAAATGATACTCGACTATTCTCCTCCAACTTAAACTTAAAAGTGGAATAACGGTGGTTTTACCCCTAAAAATAAGGGTGAAAAATTAAACATAAATATAAAATTGTAAAGCAGCTTGTTTCTTAAACAATCTAGAAAACTAATTCCGGAAAAAGTTAATACTTTCCAAGATAATGAGTGTACACACTTAAATGGATCACCTGGTACAATATCACAGAGCATTTTTAACAAAGTTCAGGACCGCTCTTTTCCAACTGCATTCTGATATAACTAAAGCCGTATCATCAGTATAAGAAAATAATTTGCCTTTTAGATCCAATTTACCTAGTGCAGCCACATATATAATGTATAAAATAGGAGATAGAATTATGCTTGAGGAACACCATTTGTGATATCTAGTTCACTACTAAAAATATTTGTTTTCGATTTTCTAGGTAATATTTTAGGAGGTTAAAAGGTTTATGAACTATACCTATTAATTTGAAAATATTTAATAGTTAATTATGAGAGACAATATCGAAATCCTTATTAAAAACCATAAAGATACCTAAGATTTTGATTTTTTGTTCAATATTTGTATATATATTTCTAGTGAATCTTCTATTCCAATATTTTCTCTAAAACTATAGTTAAGCTATATAAGTTAACTAATAGCTGTAATACTGTGATGGTGGTAAGATTAAATTTTCTTCAAGGTATTTTAGCAAACGATTTTTTATAGTTCTTTCAAATATTTTAGATAAGACATTAAGTAAGGAAATTGGTCTGTAATTCGAGATATCTAATTTATCATCCATTTTGTATATAGAAGTTACTATAGCTATTTTGAAGGATTCTGGTATATTACTTTTGATTAGAATACTGTTATAAATATGAATAAGGATATCAGCAATAGGTTCTTTGATTTTTTTAGTTATATTGATTGAGATTCCATCTTTTTCCGGAGCTGAATCACTTCTCATGTTAAGTATAATACCAAGAATTTCTGGTTTGGTTATCTTTCTAAAATATAAAGATTAATTACAGTTGGATTTTATAGGTCTTATTAAAGGTACTTTGTAATTGGATAAAGAGTTATCATTTATAAGGTTTAGATTTACCATGTTTATATTCAATATAATGAGGAAAACCTAGTTTTCAAGGTTGTCATTTGCAACCACTTTTATTTATTTATTTTTATTATTAAGTTTTTATTATTTTAATATTTTTTAAACAATCATTGTTGTCATGGAACCGCACATTTTTGTAATCATTTTACTATAATATAACATAATATATGCTGTTGACAAAGCAAAACTATCAACTGAACTCCGCTCAGAATCGTTTTTTCATTATCAATGATTTATCGTTGCTTACAGATATTACACATTAAGTTCCCGTCTGTATCCTACCTTCTCAAATTTCCACCTACACCAGTGGCTGAGCCCACGTTCAAAGTATATCCGTCCTTGTGACATCATTCTTCAACAAATGCTGTTTGCACCGCTGTCCACTGTTGTCGGGTACAATGTAAAAAAAAAAAGTAAAATATTAAAATATTGAATACCTAATCTATTATAGTTATTATAATATATTATTATTTACAGGAAAAATCTAGTTTGAATATTTGTTTCCTGCATAATCTATAAAATGAATTAAAAATTTACAAACGTATTATTTTGATACTTATAGTTAATTATTATAATATTGTAATAATGAACGTGTTCAAGACATCGTGATTGGATACAACCTTCCAAAATGGATTATGCATGTTCTTAAACTTGTTATAGTCTTGATGTTATTATAATTTATAATATTATTATAATACTTGTCGAGCGTGTCAACTGCTGTCATAGGACAATAATTTAATTTTAACGTCAAAATTAAATAACAGACGAATATAATTGGGTAGAGAAGAGCATAATATTGCATACGCAATCAACAGTTGATTTACTCATGATGTATAACCAATTTGTTGTATACGAGTACATTTGTCTCTATCCACTATTATAAAAAAACGTTTTATTTAAACCGATTCGACTATATATCTACATAATATTTTCTACGCCTTTTAACATTTGATGATCTTTTGGTTTTCGAAAAAAATAATTATTTGTATAATAAATATACTGAAAGTATACATTTAACAGGTGAGCGATGTTTGAATTTTTTAATGAATGAATGGCCGATCTTATTTGAAGAAATGATACAAATATGTACTTAAAATTTTGATGACTCTTGAAAAATTACCAGATTCGTTATGTGGCCCTTAAAAATTATTTGCTTATGACCCCTTGTCAAGATGTATAAGTCTATAGTTATAATAATCATGTAACGAATTTTCGTTACATCATGGTGGTTATTGGTTATAATAATATTTATAACCATATTACCAAAGTCTTGATAACTGAAATGTAACAATATCACGGTATCTATCATTGATACGTAGTACCTAAATAAATAAGTTATTAATATAATGATAATTAAGGTGGCTCGCACAGTGAACCCATATAATATTATGTACCTATAGATAAGATAATTATTAAAATAAGTCATCATTAGTAAAACTAATTATGGTAATCGGAATAATAATTAATGTAACATAATTGTTATTATTATGGCTAATTGGCTTTTTTTCTCTCGACTTTAAAATATTGTTAAAAAATCACGAACTTAAAAAAATTAAAAAATTGTAATGTCAAAATGTTTAGAAAAATAAACTCTACATAATGGCTATCTTCAAATTTTCCAAAAATAATAAAATAATAATTTATATTTTTAATTGTTTTACCAAAACATAAAAATTTAATTCAAATATAAATATTTGTAGTTCTTATCCCTCCTGCGAGTAATAAAAAAAAATAAATAGAATTCGACTATCATTATTTTCTCTTCGAAGATATTACAATGAATACATCTTCGTGGGACACTCTGTATAATAAGAATACCGATGATAACAAGTGACTATACATGCTTACTATGCTTACTATTGTTTATTATACCCTTTTATATTTTATTATGTGCTAAATGTAAATCTAAATAATTGTTGTTTTTTCTTTTCTGTATATACATAATTATATCCATGTTATAGTTTTCATTATTCATTCTTTAATTTTAATTTTATGTTTTATGTTATACAAGATATGTAGTACTTTTTATACGCCATACGATAAATAAATAATACCACACATTCGAATTTAGGCGCCTTTGATTTTCCATCAAGCTATATTTAATGATAACCATTAACAAGGCGCAAGGCCAAACGTTGAAAATTAGAAGCATCGATAACACAGACCTATACTATGACACCTATTACTAATTTTATGTTATACGCTCCCGAATTACCTTGGTAAATAATTCATAGTACTTTAAAATCATTGAATGAATAACATAGTCTACCAAAAAGGCAACAAATATTATAATAGTATACTGTTATCATAAAATATAAGAAAATATATTACATATGATAATTTTGAGATACGTTTTTTTCTTCTAAAACTGACTTTATAAATTAATTATTTTGTACAATAAACGTTTTTGACCATTACCATTTAATTTATTGATTTTTCTCATTTTTATTACAATTAGCTCCAGTATTTTTACAAAATGATCCTTAAAAATGGGCAAAGTGACGATATAAAATGTAGTTTTACATAAACCGTGTTTTTACTACTAAGTCCGATAACTGTACACACAATCGAACTGCGCACAAGCGAAACCAGATAATACAGCAAATTTTATGATATACACATTTGTACAATTAGACCAGTTCTTCTATATGCGTACCAGTTAAAGCCGATGTCCAAAGCACAAAGGATGTTAAGAAAACGTGTCAATCTTAGAAAGAACAACACTAAGAAGAATATACGGTCCAAAAAAGAATAATATCACCCAGCAATAAAAAATAAGAAGTAATACAGAATTACGATAGTGCCTGACATCATAGAAGCTGTATTGCGATGTTAAAGAATTATAAAAGCTATAGTCACATAAGAAGATCCAATGGTTTAATGGAAAGCTGTTTTAAATTGGAAACCCAATTGGAAAATGCCACCAAGCATACCGAAACAAAAGTAGATAGACAAAATCGTAAAAAGTCTATGTATAATACAGGATGGAGAAATATTAGCACAGGATAGTGATAGATGAAAAGAGCTACGTGAGCTAAGACTCGTTAGGCTCAGAATCTAAAAAAAACCTGCGTACACCATAAACACTACAATATCATAATAAACATAAAATAATTATGATAACAAATTTGTCCAATGACGGGGAGGTGCTTCCGGCATTGTCTTAGTAGCTCCCCAAGCTACACTACTAACTGTATTGAACAAATAATACATTAAGATTTGTATAGTATTATGAAAACTGATGTTTTATATAATCCAATATTATATACACAGGTAATTAATTTACTATGTTATGTTTCAATGTTTATCCGTGTTTAAATTTCTACATCAAACGTGGATAAGTTTTGAGATAAAATGATTAGTAAAAGACGTTTGAAACAACAGGATTTGCGATAATCCCCTTGAACGTTAATTGGGGTTCTGATTGAAAGCAAAAGTTTTTTGTATTTTTCGATTCTTAAAGTTTATTGTTACTAAACGATAATTTATTCCAAGTAATCCGCATTAAAAAAAAAAAAAAAAAAACAATACAAACAAACTTAATGTTTTTAAAGTTTTTATTAGACATTTCAAATTATAATTTATAATTTATTAGGGCGTAGTTTTTATATTATACATTATAATTTATTATGCATGAAATAATTTGAATATGACAATTTTCAAATTACAATTTTATATTATAGGTAATGGCTTAATAATTTTTCATTTGCATCAATAGTTATAACTTATAAAAATTTCGTTTAATCGTTTAATATATAAATCTTACAAACGTTTTAATGCATACATTTCTTAAAATTAGTGGCATTTCATTTGTTATAATTTCATTTTATTTCTGTTATTTTGTAATTTAGTAAAAAATGATCGTAGAGACTTGGTATTTTTACGGAACACTTATAATATGTATAACCTCTTTTATAGAATGTAGTACACGACTAAATGATAAAGATTGAAGGGTAAAATAAGGCATGAACAGTGAGCACATACTCAGACAACAGTATTACAATCTGACATTCATCCTTGCATCCGGGGCACTAAAATATCTCTGGTCGGTCCCGGCCCTAAGCAGGCAGTGCCGGCCCCCTTTGACTTCTTTGCATCAAAAAAGCACGAAAAAAAAAATGTTTAAGTTATATTATATACCTACTAATTTTGTGTCTAATATAAAATTACAACTTTGTTTTTATTAGTTTATGTATAAGTACAAATTTAGATATCGAACAAGACTTTAAAGTTTATAAAATTATACGAAAATAAAGTAAGTCCATAAAAAACAAATAATAAATATATATGGGGCCCTGCAAAATTTTGCAGTGGACCCCGAATTCTGTAGGACCGACACTGCAAGCAAGTCCATATAATCATATTATTTTCAACGGACCAGGGAGATATATCTCCATAACGCCCCTGACCTAGTCCATCATTGACTGTAATCTGCAACGCCATTCAACCGCATTTTGAACAAACCTTAATTATTATAAATACAATAAAAAAACATTCGCCGGATTTGTTGACAATTGTTCAATACTTATCTATGAATTAAATAAATACGTTCTTGGTTCCATAAACTGTGTTTGGTGTTTAAACTAATGATGGTGATCAACAATGTAATATAATGGACCCTAACATTCATACAATTAATTAAAATAGGTATAGATAATAATTATAATTAAAATGTTTATTAAGTTTATGGTTTAGTACCTAGTTAAAAGTGATAACAGGTAGGTAGTTTACATTTTATCATTCTTACATTTTAATCACCTACAATAATAAGCTTGGTGGATCCACCTTGGCGATAAGTATTATTGTTATACTTGTAAATAACAAACGTTTTTAAAACTTTCAGCCTTTCGCTCTTGTAGCAATTCAGATTTGAATTATTATTTATTTTTTTCTGCTTATTTTAAATTAATATTATCTATCTACGTATGTAAAAATTAGATACTGTTCCGTCCATTGGATAGAATAGTAAATAGGTACCTTACTACAGTGAATATGTATTAGGTACTGCAATTCGCAATTAAGTATCGTCTATATCAATAAATTAAGACGATAACAATGTATAATATACTATCCACAATATAATTAGGTGAGGACACATAAAGTCACCCTTGGAATGGCCCATTTCAACCGATGCTTACCAGTCACCACGCCACTGTTCTGGTAATGCCTACACTTATCTAATAGTACCTACATATTATGAACAGTCCATTTGGTTGACCGAGATACGTTTTGGAAGGCAATCGCATAGTCCATTCAGCCCACGCTCTAGATACGCACACTTTATGTTAATGTTTATTAAGCCAATTAGTAGTGGCTAATAGCAATTACCTCTATTAATAATAAATAATAATCACAGTAAAATCGTGTAAAAATATTGTAACACGCATTGCCTGGTGCCTGGCACAGACCACTGAATGCAACGTATATGCGTATGACGTCACCTTTTGTTTTTCGTCAGCTGCTGCTGCGCTACTCGTGTCGAAATCGTGCGCACGCCACACTGTTATCATCGAGCGGCCACCATGATACTTCTTATCATCAATTGTTCAATAATTATTTCTCCTCGTATGGCTTCATTTGACACGTCGTAAACTCGTAAGCCCACGTCCTAATCTCATGAACCTAATTCATTGCCGTCGTCGAGGCGGCGCCCAAAACCATTACAATAGGCGTTGTAATAATAATACAACAGCGGGTCCGCTGCAAGGCCGTTCGCAAGGCGGCGCGGGGCAAACACCGCGCGGCTAGCCGGACGGGTTTGCAGAAACCCTCCTCGATCTCGGACCGGCACGCCACCGCCGCGTTCTCTATAGTCTCTGCCGTGTACTGCGTGCGCAGTGTCTGTGCTCGTCACTTTGTGTTCGAACGTCCGGTACGTATTACGGCCGTTTCGTCGTCTCGATCGCCTAGCATGTTACCGCCTGAGCGACGATACCGTAATAATATTATTGAGTAAATAACGCCGTCGCGACACAACGTTCGTTTGCCCGTCCAACTGCAAGTTGTCATCATGACTTCCAAAGTCTCCACAGACTCTGCAGTTACGTGAGTACCTTCCGTACATCGTAATCCGGCCGTGCACTGTGTATTTCGAATGGCAGTAACGACCGACCAAATTCATCGGTCCCAACATTTAATTGTTAATCTCGACTGTATTAGCCGGCTTTACACTGCCGTTATACTATTATATAATCTGGATATAGTGTATAGGCACTTGTGTCGGTGATCTAAGACAAAATCTCTCCGTTTTATTTAAGAATTCGTTTTCAAGTTGAAATTTCTGTAATTTGAATTACTTAGATATTTATAAATTAAGCTTTAGTGCTTAGGTAATACAAAAATAGATTTTGGATTTGGGTTAGATTCAGCATCGCACGAAATGAATTAATTTGTTTTGCGGAGAAGTTGTATCCATTTGCTAGTTGAATCTTACAATGTATTGAATTTCTTTATTGTACACATATAATATATAATATAATAGGTAAGTACCTATTATGGAATATTTAGGTATATCAAACAGAGGCTTGGTGAATTTTCTTTACCTATGAAGCCAACTTAATTTGGCACATCTACCACACACCCACATAGAGGCATTCCATAAATTATTCGATGTACATATCTTATTACCTATTTATTATATGGTAGAATGAGGGAAAAATACCTGCTTACATACAATATTAGATTATATTATAATACTCTTTTAAAATTATAAAAGTAATAAATTCCTATAATTACTGTACACAAAGTACATAATCAGATCATACATTATGATTTATGATCTTCCAGTCTTACATACCTATCCCAAAATATTAAACATCATTTCTCAATAAGAACCTCTTCATCAAATCACTTTTATTATACCTAGTTATAGGTATATATAATTAATATAGTATATTATTGAAATAAATTGTGTTATGATTAACTTAATTTTTTTTTCTACAAAAAAAAACAAAATTGAAAATATACGTAGTTCAGGTTAAGTAAGTAGGTACCCACAAAAACAAATTTATATTTAAATGACAATTATGGGTTCTTAATTCAATCTGATGACATGTTTATCTATAACTTATAAATTATAATTTGCATTTAAATTTGTACCTACATTATTTATTAATCAAGTTTTCTTAGTAGGTATGTTAGATATCTTGCTAATTGTTAAATTGTAAACTTTATGCAATATTCATTTTATATGATCAATTGTATTTAAGTACAATTAAATTAAACATTTTAAATTTTTGATATTGTAATAATATGTAATATTAATCTAGATAATATTTGTTGAAAAAAAAAAGACCTTTGCTCTTTTATTTACTATCATAATAATTAAAACTGACTGTTATTATTTTTTATGATATTACAATAAAGACTTATTTATGTATATTATTATGTTTAAAAGAATTCTCATATCAAATACATCAATTTATTATATATACAGGGTAATTATTTTATCATTGAACACTCATTATTTAGCAAAGTATTGACTTTTCAAATCAAATTTTTTTTTAAATTTAAGAAACAATAGGCTTTAAAAATTACATTACCATTATTTTTTGTCACCCTTATTTTTGAAGGTAAAATGACTACCAAATTGATTTTCAATTAGTAACCTACCTTAAAAGTTCCATAAAAAGATAACCTAACCTAACCTTCCATAAAAAGATTTTCCATAAAAAGAGTATTAATATAAATTCCTTTCTTTGTTGAAATTTTTTTTGTTTTTGCTTTTTATTTAGTAAGTTTCCAAAAAAAATTGTTTTGAAAAAATTTAATACTTATGAAAATAATGAGTGTTCTACAATAAAATAATCACCCTGTATATAGGGTGATATATATATATATATATTAATAAATGTATAATATAGGTAGCCAGATAGGTATGTATTAGTTATTCATAATATTGGTTTCTATAGAATGCAATTGAAATATTTTCGAAACTTGTGATTATGATTTAGTAATAATAAATTAAAATATTTTTCAGTTGGTAGATAAATATTGCATAACCCGAACAACAATTGCTTAAAACTAATTTACCAAATACATACAGTTAAAGTTTAAATCATACAGGTCCATAAATAATAAAATGAAAAACAATAAACTTTTATGTATTTATAAAAACAAAGTAGATCTTATACACCTAATAGAAACAACTAGGTATATTTAACATGGGTATATATTAAATGGGTAATTTATTATGATACACTATTTTTAATATTATGAATTAGTAGTTACCTATAAATAAGAAAGTATTAAATATATATAGGTACATAAATTATTTGTGTTCATTTTATGTTACTTAACCATTTTCGTTTCTTCTCTTCCCTCAAATCTAAGTCATCCTACATATAGTTACCTATTTATTTTATTTTATTTTTTTTTAAACATACAACAAATTATAATGCATGAGTTAATTTTGTCTCTATTTGTTGTTTATTAATGCATTCAGAATGCATTTTAGAGTTAAATAATTAAATACTATTTACAGAATAGATACAAGTGGTACAACTACTCAGCACTGAACCAATTACCTAGTCAAAATAGTTAAAAGTTTATAATCAACTTAAAACCTGTTTTAATGATGTATAGGTACTTAATGTATATATCTATACTTTATTATAGACACTAATTATAAGCATTAAAAAGTAAAGACACAAGTTAGTCAATCATAGTGTAGATACGGTATATGAATCTGAAATACATTTTGATGATAATTATAGCTTGCTATGTATCTAAACATTTTATAAGTCAGTTTTTCAATTCACTGATTGAAAATAAATTGCATAACATTTTTTTTAAACAATTTTTTTGTCTGAATTAGAGTTATCTGTTATTTCATTGAATAGTTAATTATTGTCAGTGACAGCAATTATTTATATTTATTATTATAATTCTTCAATTGTTAACTTAAACATTTTACTAGCCACTTTGTTAAGTCCAATTTGTCTGTATAACATACAAGTCCCATTAATATCAATTTTAACAAACATAAATAATATTTTATTAATTTAGACAGTAGGTATCTTTATGAATTATTAGAACATATTCTTAAATACAAAATAGTTCAACTTAATAATAGGTAAATTTTTCAAGATTATTATCATTATATTTAAATTAAATGTAATTGATTTCAGTTTACTGACAACACTAAGTAATTATTAATTGTTGTTGATTCAGTTTTTATATCATATCAAATGCATTTTTAAGAATACCTATAATCATTTTTACCAGAAATATACTATCATAATATAATATTGTCTTGGCCTATCTAACAGACATTATTGTAATATGTTCTGGTTAAATTTAATTCAAACGCCCATGAACAAAGTTAATAATAAAATATTTTGGAGGGCATCCTGTAGTCTTTTTTTTATTTTATTTTTGTAAAATATTATCTACAAAAAAAATTAGTTGTTTAAAACATTAAAACACTAACTGTATTTGTTTGTAAAAAGACATATTATATTTATACCCTCAACATTTTACTGTATTAAACTTCTCTAAATGTCTTAAATGCATGCAAAATAAAAAAAAAACTGTTATTTCAATATACACACAATATACCTATTTAGAAATAAAATTTGAAATTGAGAGTATAAGAAAATTTTAATTAAAAAAAGACAAAACTAATAAATTATATTTATATTACAATAATATTATGTTCTTTACTAAAAATTACATTTTGTGCTAAAAAATGTATATAAAATTAATTTTAAGTACGTACCTATATTAAAATAATTAACCTTAATCTTTTTTTTTTTTTTAGGAAATCTCCACCTACTCATAGTTTTTCGTAAGTATAGTATAATAAATACTATTATATTAAAACGGTTTTACTTTGTATACCGTTTTTTCATTGAAATTAGCAAGAGAATATGAAATTATGTTATATTTTAAATTTAATTTTTCTTAAATGTAACAAAAACATGCTTATACTCAAAGCTTACAATATGCAAACCCTCATTAAGCCTATGTAGTTTTATGGTATTAATTAATTATAAATTTATAAATTATATCTGGGGCAATTATTTACAAAATTTTAAGTGGAAGAATACATTGTCTATAAAAATTGTACTTAATTTTACTGGCTTGCTAAAATATATATTTATATCTATAGATTGTTGCCAAAAATTGTGAATGGTGGTATAGCTGGTATTATTGGTGTCACTGTGGTTTTCCCACTTGATTTGGTTAAAACAAGGCTTCAAAATCAAAAACCTGGTCCTGATGGATCTTTCATGTATAAATCAATGTAAGAAACTACAAAAAGAAACTTAATCTTTTAATAACTTGTATATGTTATATTATAAATTATCTATTAATTTAAAGGTTTGATGCATTTCGGAAAACATATGCTGCTGAGGGATATTTTGGAATGTATCGAGGTTCAGCTGTAAATATTTTATTAATTACACCTGAAAAAGCCATTAAGTTGGCTGCTAATGATCAATTTCGATATTATTTGTCTTCACCTGGGTATGTATTATATATTTACGTTAAGGGTTTTCTAATAGAACGGAGGAAACGTATTAAAAACTCTTATGTTTAAGGAAGCCTTTAACTTTACTACGCGAAATGTTGGCTGGTGCTGGTGCAGGACTTTTTCAAATTGTTGTTACCACTCCGATGGAATTATTGAAAATACAAATGCAAGATGCTGGTCGTATTGCAGCACAAGCTAAATTAGGTAATAATGTTTATTTGTCCTAAAGTTATTTTAATTTAGAACAAATGTTCTTTGAGTGTCTTTATTATGGTTTTTAAATTTATTTATTTTAAAATTTCTTATATTTATGTAAATAAATATCATTCAAGTTTTAGATTCTGAAAGTAGCAATGAATGTAATTGGTTTGATGTGTGCTTTTTTGTCTGTTAACAACTTTTCTATTAGAAATCTTTGGTAAACAATTTCAGAGGTGGTTTCTGGAATCTAATTTTATCTATATTGGGGAGGTAATTCTTTTATATTCCTTAGTTTTCATAGCAACTGTGAAAAAATGAAAATATTTCTGTTAATTTAGATTCAATATTTTTTTCGTAATTCAGTACCCAAAAAAAAAGTTGAGTCCTGAAATTTTCTCCCAACGATTATTTTATCTATTTCTAGATGTAGTAATATTTTCAAATTATTCTAGTGATTTTGGAGCTATGTATTATCATTGGAAATTTTCAAGTTTTTCTTTAGTTTTATCAGTTTTATTTGTGTACAATTTCATAGTTGTCACAACTTCTAGAAACCTGGAATACTCAAAGAATTTGTATACAATTCTGGAATTATAATTTCAAACTTCAATCTCTATTTTCATAAGTATTAATTATTCAAAATTCCTTTTTATCATAGATAATAATATTATTTTAATAATTCAATGTAATATTATTATATTCCTGTATATTATTTTGTTGCATATTTTATTTTAACTTAAACAATTTCAATTATACTTTAAATACCAGTAGATAAATCACTAATGAGTTTATACAAATGTTTGGTAGTCTTATTTCAGGAAATCTTTGATATTCATTTGAAAAATCATTATATTCTGAAATTTGATGTACATATTATTCATCAGTGTAATCATGTTCTCTGATAAATATTTTAATTTTTTAAAACTTGTTCATAGTTACAATTATTAATTTTGATATTAAAGCCCACCTTTTAATTCTAAAACAATAAACATGACAAACATTTTACCACATTAAATAATTAATTTGGTAAACCATCTTGGAAACTTCAAAATGGAATTTCGTGGAAACCATAAATTTGTTTTGATTATCAAGAAAATTTAAAAATATTATTATAATAACAAAAAAGTTATTCTAATGTATTATAAATCCTATGTTTCCTACTTCACACACATAACACCTATGGTGCGAAGCCATTAGAGCTCTCAGATATTTTTAAGTGGAAAGAGAGGGAGGGAGAAAATTCAATATTTTATACCTTTTACAATATTTAATTCGATGAAAAAAAAAACAAATGGACAAATTTGTTAGTTTTTTCCATTTATTATAAAATCCTTAAAAAATCAAAAGATGACCTCCCTAAAGTACCACCTCAGGAAAATTTCTTTTCAGAAAAAGTGCTATACTTGAAAATCAAAGTAAGATTTCTGGTAGAAAAATTGTTCACAGATAAAAAAAAATAAACATTCCTTGCTCCTCTTAAAATCTAAAAAACTAAAAAATTATTTCAATATGATAAATGTATTGCTATATAAAATTCTGGGAGGGGGCAAATTTCCCATCTTTCTCCACCCCTACTGTGCACATAGTATCCATAATTTTTTTTATATGTGAAAAGAATGTAAACACTACTTAATAATAATAACTAATCTATTTTATTAGAGGGAAAAACGGTGCCAAAAGTTTCAGCTACATCGTTGGCCAAAGAATTAGTAGCATCTAAAGGAATATTTGGTCTTTACCGTGGTGTTGGGGCCACAGGAATGCGTGATGTAACATTTTCTGTTATATACTTTCCAATGTTTGCCCGACTAAATGCCTTAGGACCACGAAAAAAGGATGGCTCTGGTATGTATATATTTAATTAATTTGTTTGCATTGAATAGAAGAAAAGATTAAATAATTTTTAATTTTTATTTTATCAGGTGATGCAGTATTTTGGTGCTCTTTTGTATCAGGTTGTGTTGCTGGTTCAAGTGCTGCTTTAGCTGTTAATCCAATTGATGTAATTAAAACAAGATTACAAGCAATTAAAAAAACCGAAGCTGAAGTAGAATACAAAGGAGTTGTCGACTGTTTTGTGTAAGATAATAGTTATATAGTTTATAAATTTATTAATTTAAAGTTTTACTTTATTATCATTTATATTCCAGGAAAACATTACGTAATGAAGGTCCTTTGGCATTCTTCAGAGGAGGTGCGTGTCGAATGATTGTGATTGCACCGCTTTTTGGAATTGCACAAACCATTTATTATTTAGGTGTAGCTGAAAGAATTTTGGGTGTGAAAAAATAAGGAATCAGTATTCAGTGTTTAGTAATAAAAATGTATCTGCGTGTAGTTCACTTTTATTTTAACACAGTATTATTGTTAGCTCATTTTTACAGTATCATGTATTCTCGTGCCTAATTATTCCATTACGAATTTTAATTTTAGTAACAGGTACAAAAACTATTTACCAAATTTCATATTCAATTAAATTATTATTAATAATATTTCAGGGTTATTTAAGTTTTGTGTATTAACCTTGTGTTGATTCTAATTAATATTATTTGATGAAGAATATTTTTATGAACTAAAATATTTACGATTTTATAAAAGACAATAGTCACCATCTTAAATTAAGCTGTCTTTTAAAAATATGTTACTTAAATTAAGGTTGAAATTAACTGTGATTGTTTATTAACATTATCTTCTTTGTGTACTTAAGTATTGAATCTGTTTTCATGCATTCCGTGTCCAATGTAACTGTATTTATAATATGTTAATGCCAAATTTTTTATCATTGTACTTACTATTGTCAATGATGTAGCATTTTGCTTGTATTAATTATTATTGTAAGAATGTTTAAAGATCAAATTATAAAATTACCATTAAAATATTATTAATACAATGAGAGCTTTTTTTTATTTTTATTGTTGAATTTTATAAACCATGATTATTAGATGACAATTAGGTTCAAAAGATTAAATTGAATATTTAAGTATATTTTATATTAGATAATATTTAAAAATATATGTTATAGAAATTGGGATTATAACAATGTTAAAACATTTTTTCCAATCCAGACTTATATCAAAGGAAAAACCCTCTTTGTACTCAGTCTCATTATTTGCAAGTAGGTATGAATATTTATTTTGAAATACCTGTTTAACTTTCCTTTTGTTTTCTAAATTTTAATCAAAAAGTTTTCTACCACCCACACAAAATAAATCATTTTTTTCAAATTTATATTGGCTTTAGAATGAATCGCTGAAGGGCTTTAATGATGACAATTGGCATTGCAACACAGTAAAAGTATTAAATTATTAAAAATAACAAATATATTTAACTATCTTTTGTTGAGCAAATTATTTTTAAAAATATTACAAAGTTCAATTAGTTAAAAGAAAACACAATTGGTATAATCTATAGATTAGATTCAAACATGATTTCAAAAATGTATAAATCCACATTAAATTGTCTTAATTTTAAAATTGTAATAATGTACTAACTATAAATGTATATCTTAAATTTGATTAGGTTTTCAATCAATTTGACTAAAGTGTTGATCCATGATTTTGTGTCATACTTATTCAAGTATATATATATCTATCTATTGATAATTAAATGAGACAATAAAAAGAATTTTTTGTAACCACTTAGTAGTTAGTTGATACTTAGTTATTACAGATTAACATACTCTCGAGTAATGTATCAATAATAGTTTCATAAAACACTATCAAAACTGAAATGTAATAGGACACAGAAAATAGATAACAATATAGTACTTATATTTAAATTTAAAAATGTATTGATTACATAGATATGTAAATAGAAAAACAACTATTGTAGATATATTAAACTATATTTTACATTATTTTTAATAATCATCAATACTAAGTACATACTATTATATTTTAACTGTTAATTTTGTATTAACATTGTTATTGTTCTATTTGCAGACATATAACTATCCCATATAATTTATTGAATAATATAGAATATCAAAATGTAATACATGCGATTTTTTAAGAAATACAACTATGTATTATAAAATTGAAGGAATATTGGAGCTAATCACATACATAGTGCTTATATAATATATACTTACCTAATAATAAATCAATAATAACAGTAAATAAAAGTAATAAAATGGTGTAGGTAATTAATAATTAAGTACCTATATAAGCTTTCTATGCATATGAAGTTAACTCAAAAATATTTTAGTAGTAGATACCTATAAATAAGTATCGTAACTCTAAAATCACTTTAAAGTGTGTCTAGTTTGTTGTACTTACTATACTCACGTAAATACATTTTTGAACTAAAATATGTATTCATGTTGCACAATAAATACTTGTGATAATTTGCGAGATCTCTAGTTAAATTATTTGAAACTATAGTAAAGTGAATCTGAATCGCAGATATATAAATATAATTCATGTTTATATCTTTAATCTCAATAATTCTCAATATTTTTCGTAAAAAAAAAAAAAAATGTTTTTTACTATTTGTCCTTTAGAAATTGAGTGTGCGATAAGTTTGAAGAGTGGATTATAACAATAAACGGAGAGGGGATATTGCAAGCCGTAATGTATAACGTATACTATTAACTCACCTATCCTCAAAGTTAATAGAACCTTGACCTACCCTAACATTTTCAACTTGTTACTGCTGTATGGATAGTGTCCTAATTGTAAACTTAAACCACTCTAAGAACATGTTTCAGTTTCTAACAAATTACTTCCTGAACTATAAAATAAGCTAAAACAGATAGAAGTAGCTGCTTGTTGGTGGTAAATGTTGAATGGGTATTTATTTTTAAAACAATATAGTTTTAAAAAAAATTAAAGTCCATATAGTGAGTATAATATAGTTGTAAACGTTTTCTATTAGAGCATGTTGTCGCATAGAGTAGAGTAAAGAGTATAATAGTTATTTTATGATTTCATATCGGCTCTAAATAGTAGGCCATGAGAAGTGGCAACAATATTCCTGTTGAAGTGTTGACTATTCTAGTTTGACCATTTGTGTCTACTCCATAGTCCGTGGTACCTACTCGAGCAATGCGAGGATCACATAGAATATACATAATAAAGGAATATCTTTAATATATAATTTAATATAAAGCAAAATGTATCATTAAAACGAAAATTATATTTCAAACATAAAATCGGTGGGGAAAATTAAGGCAACAAATATCTGCCATAGACATAGTATAATATACTGTTTATTTTTTTTATAATTTAAGGTCAATGGCTACTGTTCCGCAAGGTGCAGGATGACAGGATCAGGGAGGCGGATGCGAGGGTCAACAAGTCACCATGGGAGTGATTACATCACAACGGATACAATGGTTCGACCAGTCCGACGCCCTCCGGCACGACTACCCTGATGGGCACATTGACTTCGGCTTAATGTTGCATTTGTAAGGGGGTGACGCGGGACACTTCGCTCTACCCATTCCTTGCTCCTTAGTATTAAGTAGTTCAATATTAGTCTATCGTAGGGGAAAACTGGATTTTTGCATATCACTTAATTGAATTTTTCAATAAATGATGGCGGCAATGAGGAAGTATTATGAAAGCAAATTCCTCATCGCCATAGAAATATTATAAATTATTTATTAATATGTGTATACTCGCTGCCTCGCTGTTAGTGTTGTGGCCTGTGGGCGTAAACTGTAAACTACAGGGAAAAAAAAGTCTACAGCTATATCAGTTGGCTACTCTTAGCTTTTTCTGTCGTACGAGAATTTCTTTTTCCAATGTTTTAGCGCGAAACTTGATTTAAACTTTCGAATTTCCAAGAAAAATGATTTTCCAGTTAAATAATGTCTGATAAATTACTATCCAAACATGTATTTTTCAGACATTTATGTTTGTAAAAATTATTTTCCGATTTTTAATATTTTTTCCCACCCAGAAAATTATTGATCCAGAATATTATTTTCAACGGTTTTAGGAACCCCCGATTTTGTACATGGGGAATAAAGTAACCTGATTGGCTAATTACAACAAAGAATATAATATTGAACCATAAAATAAAAATAACCGAGTAACGATCGGGATTTCCAATATTCGGACAGATACCTATATATTTGTCATGGTAGGCCAGTTGTTGTCGTATTGTTATTATTCATAAGCGAGTTATTTTCATATTGCTTACAACGCAAAAAGCCCACAACAGTATTCTAGATTCTTCCATTTTTAATTTTTCGCGCGTCGGTCACCATCAACTTGCAGTCGTGAATTCATCGAGTTGCCTATTTTTAAATCGTATTCCGATTTTTTCTACAACTTCTGAGCCGCGTGAGTATTTTCGTTTTTGTTGTTGTGCAAAATTATTGCGTATCTATCGCTATATTACCGAAAATGGAGTATTCCAAAGATTTTGAGGTATATTCCAAACCATTACTGAAGGCTAAAGTCCTAAAACAAGTTTTGGTAAAACATGCTGCCATGAAAACTGCAGAAGACAAATTTAAATACACCCAATCTCTGTTCATGAAGTACAAGATGGTACGTGATGTCAAGTATATTAAACGGGCCTTTCAGTGCTGTATAAGTTTAAAAGACACTAAAATTCGAATATGTGGCAACGAACAGTTCAGGGAAAAAAAATACGAACTGGCAATCAATACTTACACCGTATGTTTGATGAAAGGGACACCGGGCACGTTAAATTATGCGTTGACATTCGCCAACCGGTCGGCCGCGTTGTTCGAATTATCCATGTACTCATCGTGCATGACGGACGTGCAACGGGCCATCGACACCAAAATGTATCCCTCGGAGCTTCTATACAAGTTATACATGCGGGCCGGCAATGCCAATCGGCTCATGGGTCACTCCAATCTAGCCAAAATGAATTATGAAGAATGCTTGAAACACTTGGTGTACGCTGCCATGTCTAAGAGGCAGAAAACTGCATTCAAAACTGACGTTTTAAACTTCATCGACATGTGCAATAATATGGGGAACTTGAATTACTTACGAATAAACGACCAACTGCCAGAGCTGTTGGGAGGACCGAATGAACAAATTCCGGCGTTTTCAAAGTTTTTAGAATTGAGGTGCACTACGAATATGGGAAGAGGTGTTTACACTACTCGTGACTTAAACCCAGGTAAACATCACTACTCACTGTTTTTAATAATTGTTCAGAAAAACTACTTTAAACTTCTTGTGTAGTTTCCTAATAATACAGTAGCAATTATGTTAGGTACAATTAAGAACTTATTATTAATTTGCACATGGTCAAGCCTTTAGAATATTGGAAAGTGAATGAAAAATTGGAACATGTAATACTAGTAGAAATGAAAAACAGACAGTGAGAGGTTGTGAAGGAAAAAAATATAGAAGATAATAGTAGTATAGAAGATATGTAAGGTAATATTGATATATTATGTAATGACAGCGAAAGGTTTGCCTTTGAGGCCTTTTCTAAGGTCTGGGAAGCAATAAAAGTCACAAGGGTGCTAAATGGGTAAATCTGGTGTGGTAGGCGTTGAAGGACCTCGAACTTCAATTGTTCAAGAGCAGTGCTGGTTGTATTTAATGTGTGAGGTTGTGCGTTGTTGTGTTACAATAAAATGATCTCCATTGATACTGTAAACAATTTGTAACAATGAATGTTTTTTCGGATTAACATTATCAGCGGTTTAAAATGCTGGTACATACTGTTTAGAAACAAGTCAAGTGATGTTCAAGCACAATTTCTCAGTTATAAACGATTAAAATAGTTATATTTTGACACCAAATAGAATTCATTATCTTATTACAATTTTGAGTAATTGGATATTGTGCATTGCCTATCATTCGCTCCTATATTCTGGAAAAGTGTTATTAAGATTATACCTAATTTAAAGTTGATAATAATTTTCAATATTTGAGAAAATTTAAAAAACATGCACCAAACATCTAATGTTTTTCATTTCACTGGCTTTATGTGGAGTTATCTATAAAAAAAAAAGACTTTTTTACAATTATCAATAATTATTCAATACCTATTAATAGTTTTTTTTTTTTTTTTCATTTCAGGTGATACTGTTGCCATTGATTCAGTTTATATATGTCGTCCTTCATTAGATAGTCTAAACTTGTGTTGTTACTCTAGATGTTTAGAAGTAAATTGGGCTGTTATACCTTGCCCAAATTGTAGATTAGTAAGTTTCTAATAAAACAAATTATATATATATATATGTATAAAGGATTAATTTTACATTTCAGTATTTGGAATTAATATTTGGATATTTATTTAATTTTAAATATCGGTAGAATAGAATTGTTGACAGTGTATTATTATTAATTATTTATAAAATTAATATTTAAATTAGGTTATCAATTTTTGGTTATGTCATAATGTTCATATTTGAATTAACTATTACACCTATATTTTAAAAATTGTCAAATTTAATTATGCAATACAAATTATATATTATTACTTTAACCCAGAGGTGTAAATGACACCATGTCCATTATTTATGAAATTGAGTTAGCATTGATTTCAATTATTGAAAATTTGATTTCTTTTTAAAGTTAATATTTTATGGTATGGTGTCTTTTATCTTCGGGTACAAATTTATAAATACTATAAAAATTTTAATTTTCGTAAGTAATACTAAATTGTTCTGTTAAAGAGCTTTAACATGTATTAATCATTAAATAAGTGTATATTTCAAATATTTAGGAATATAAAATAATAATAATATAGAAACTCGTCATTAGACGACAGTCCCTAGAAAAAATATTGTTTCTGAATTCATTTACAATTATAAAACTACAACATCAGCTACTTACATTTTTGTATGTAAAACAATTACCTATTTTTTTTTTCAAATGACAACCTATATTAAAAAATAAAATAATACAGTAAAAAAAATTTATTAAAATGGTTAATACTCCTAAATAAAAATTAATATAATTATTTATTTATTTTTATGCAAACATTTTTTTTATTTATATATTTAATATAAGTTGCTGTAATTTGACATTGAAAATTAAAAGTAGGATGTTTTTTCACCTCCAAAACTTAACCAAAAAATTTTTTTTTTCAAATTTTCTTAAAATACAAAACTAGGAAAAAAGACCTACAATATTTAACAATTTCAAAAAATGATGCTGTAAAACAAACAAAAAATACATATCCCGTTAAAAATTCAAAATAAAATATATAGGTATATTCTGTATTTATGAAACATTAAATACATTTTTAAAATAATGTAATATTTTATAGATAAAACTAAAATAAAATACTTAAGTCATCAATATCTCATCTTTTTTTAATATAGACATTTTATAGTTTTTTAAGTTGAATTATTATTTACCATGGGTAACAATTTCAAAAGTCTTCATCATTGTTTTAAAAGTTTTTTTTTTTTTTTATTAAAAAAAGTACCAACTTAATAGTATATGTTATTTAATGTAAATTTAAAAATAATATGCTATAAAAAGTTTAAACTATGTATATATTTTCTACAGTTGGTCTATTGCAATGAAGAGTGCATGCAAAAATCATATGTAGAAGATGCGCACAATTTGGAATGTCCAACATTAATCTACGCTCCCACATTACCAGGAAAAACTATGATCAATTTATTGGTTATTAACTGGTTTTTTAAAGCTATTTCCCAAATGGGTTTGGATAAATACTGTTCAATAGTGCATGACTTTTCAAAGACAAAATTAGATCTCCTTACTAGGGGCTTTAATGGAAATGGCCAATACATTTCTGATGAATTTTTAACAAACTATTCTTTGTATAACGATGAAAATAACATTTCATCGGAAGTTTCATTTTTCTTTAGTTGCATTGCAACTAATATTTTACATTGTATCATAAAGAGAGGCATGACAATTCCCAAACATCAAATAGTTACTGTTGGTGCTTCATTTTTGCACATGGTTAAATTATTATCTTCAAACGCTATCAAATTCAGAACAAGTTGGGGTCGTTGGGAGGAAGTATTTGCACGTGGTTTATATCCATCCATATGTTTGTTTAACCATTCTTGTGACGCAAATGTCACCTCATATGTGTTGGATAAAAAAACTGTGGTTCTGAAAACTTTACAACCAATTTCCAAAGGAAGTCAGGTGACTAGTATTCATTTAACTTTCATTAAAATAATATAAATATTCATTATTTTATTATAAATTATGTTTTAATGTTTTAGTTGTGTATATCTTATGGTTTGAATTTTCAAAATAATAACAAACAATGGAGAGACTTACATTTTAAGAATGTGTTGAAGTTTAAATGCCTTTGCCAGCCTTGTATAGAAAATTGGCCAACTATTCGATACACGCCAAATCGTTTATCTACACAGTATGTGTTTCCTTTATATCATAATTATGAGTTATATTTCCTTATTTGATTTTAAGTTCCACATAATTTTTTTTTTTTTTTTTTTTTAGTTATCTTCTTAACCCTAATATGGCATACATTGTGTCATTGGAGTGCAAAAAGTTTCTAGAATTTCAAAATACTGTGGCGAAGGAAACTAATTTCCATGAGGAAGAGCATTTAACTTATTTGATCAATTTTGCGAAGTTCTTATTTATAAATGTAAAACGACCATTTAAATTATATGAGGACTGTATTGATATGCTATTTGTTGCTCAAAAAACAATGCTCGGTGTTCATAAAGAGTCTCCTGATGTAAAATCTATAATTAATTATTTTGTTAGGCTTGATTATTTATAACTATTTTAGTTTATCAAAAAGTTTTTTGATTTTTTTTTTTTTAATTATTATTACATTTATACAAGGAGTATAATAATATAACAGTTTAATTTGTTTATTATATTATATTTGCTAAATTTTTTTTTTTTTTTTTTTATAAATTTATAAAATATATGTTTAACAAAACCATACAGTTAGGCAAATATAATTAGGATATTATACAAAGTAGATATTAATGAATTATGATAATCAATAACTTCAGTAAATAACTATTTAATTTTTTAAATTTATTTTCTTGTTCATATTATGTTTAAATATTTTGCTATTTGTAATTTTTTTTTTTTTTTTTATATATATAATCAGTTAAAACCTTACACACACAATATTATATTAAAAGAATATTAATAAATGATGTCAATTGACTACCTAAATTTGTTTGCTTTAACTTGATGAGAACAAGTAGAGTATAATTTTAGAAGTAATAATTATATTACTATAACGTATCATTACTACTAAAAATTATTTTTAAAAAAATATATTACATTGTTGATTTGCTTTTTCAACATAATATTGTACATGGGGAGGTCACTGTTGTAAATGCAGGGATGAGTCAAGCATAGTGAGGGAGTTATTGGTTTTACTAAGATTTATTTTTTTTTTTCATTGTTCTAGTTTATAGACACATTTTTCTCTTGTAAACTTGCTCTGATTTTTACGTATAGCACCTTTTCTGAAAGCTTAGGTTGTCTAGATGGTAATTTAGAGACATTATTCTTTGAGTTTTGGCACTATTTTTAAATAAAAACAAGACAGATTCTACCAGAAAAAATGATTTAATCGAAAAATCACAAGACAACTTTTGTGTTGTCTTTTTTATTTAATTTCTTATAGTCTCTGTCAAAACTTTTGAGCTTTTAAGGAATTTTAAGTTTTGGTAGTTTTTTTTGCTGTATTCGATTATAAATACATGTATTACAACTTTGTAATAATACTGATATTGGACTTCTCTAGACATGATAAATGAAAATCGCAAAAAAAACAAAATTTCAGCACTTCAAATTATGTATTATCGAATTGCGCAACCTTATGTATCCTACCTTTCCACTTCTCACCTACAAAAGTGGCCGCTCCCATCCCCAGTATCAGCTCTTTTTTTTAGTCACTAAATATTCTCATACAATATTATTGTTATAATTTTCTATGTGATGAAAAAGAAATTTAAAGTCTTACATAAGCTTAACCTAATACTACCAAAGACTAGCATATTTTTAAACAATTGTTTTAGTTATAATTAGAGTTATTTATCTTTAAATTATGTTCTAAAGGCAACACCTTGTGGAGTTAGCCATGTGTCTGTCTTTTGCTGCTTCCTTTAGTTGTTGGTAAGATACACCGCCCATCTTTTCTTTTATATCATGGAAATAATTTGTTCTAGATGTTCCTTTTGGTCTTCGTCCCATTATTCTTCCTTCAAATATATTAAGAAAATTATTGCAACAAATAAAATACACAATAAATTTTATTTACCTTTCCATTATGTTAATCACTAGACTTCTTTTCTCTCCTATTTCTACTAGAATTCTTTCATTTGATTTTCGTTCCATCCATTAGTCTTAGTCATCTTCCACATCTCCATTGCTTGCAGATTGTTTTTATCTTTCTGTGTTATTGTTCATGTCTCACAACCATAACATAAGAAACTCCATATAAAAGTTCTAATAAACTTTTTACGAGTTTCAAGTTTGAAGTACCTATTAATAAGTTAAGTTTATTATACTTCTTAAGGAAAGCTTGTTTGGCGAGGGTTATTATTTTCTTTATGTCCGCTGCTAATTGGTTTCTATTCAAATTAAGCTTCCTAGATAGCAAAAGTCATTAACTTGCTGTATCAGATTGATTCGCATATTGGTATTGTTGTTCGTATATTGTTATTTATCTTACATATCAACATTGTTTTTGTCTTTTGTTCGTTGATCTTTAGTTAGTACTTAACAATTATATCTGCCAAGGTGTTGAACATTTTATTCATATTTTGAGACTCGGCTAACATTACAATGTCATCTGCAAATAGTATGCTGTGGACCCTTTGTCCATTGATCTTTATTCTTCTCTTAATTTTGAATTCATTTATTGATGCTTCAATGAAGATATTAAATAAATATGGTGCTAGTGGGCATCCTTGCCTGACTCCTTTTCTAATTTTAGATTGTTTTGTTCTGTTAATATCAATAATAGTCTGAATTTTATATAGTTTTAAAATAAGTCTTCCATCTCTCCACTCAATTCCATTATCATTCAACGTTTTAAATAAACACCTCCCATTTACTTTATTTTCATCTATGAAATTAGCATATGCATTTCTATTTACATCTATTCTTCCATTAAAAATTTGATGTAGTGCTAGTATCGCTTCTCTTGTCCCTCTTTCATACCTAAATCTAAATTGATCTTCACCTATTTGGTTTTCTATTTTTTTCTTCAACCTATGTTTTCTAACATTTAGAAGTATTTCTGATACATGAAATAACATTGAAATTGTCCTATAATTAGAACAGTCATTTGCATTTCCCTTTTTAGGTATGGTAATGCATTTATTTGTGAAACAGTTGTTAGGAATCTTTCTTTTTTTATAACAATCGGTGATAATATTAAATATCTTTTCTGTCGTTGCAATGCCTAATTTTTTAATATTTCTGCTGGTATTTCATCCATCCTTGTTGCTTTTTATCTCTTAAATCTTTCAACGCTTTGTAAAACTCTTCTCTGGTTATTTCTAGTCCCAATTCATTCATATCTTCTTCACTTTCAAAATAAATGTGGTAATCTTCAATTTCATCTCCTCTGAATAACTCATCTATATACTCTTTCCATCTCTCTGTTACTTTTTCATTTTCAAATAAGATATTTCCTGATTTATATTTAACCACATTACTTCTTATTTTCGTAATGTAATTTATTCTTTTCACTTTATTGTAGGTTTTTACCAGTATTTTTTTCTTATTAAATCAATTTCAATTTCTTTGCAGTTTTCTTCCAGCTATTTATCTTTTGCAATTCTACATTTATTTTTTATTTTGTTCTTTACCTTTTTGTATTCATTGTAATCAATTTCTCTTAGTGAGTTTCTTATTTTGAGTCCAAAATATTTTGGTTTATCCATGGTTTCTTGGGGATTATAGTATTATTTCCTAATACTTTTTCAGTTATGTCATTGATGTATTTGATTTCTTTCCATGTTTTAGCTTCCTCATTTTTTTTTTTTTTCTTAATCTCCTAATTTGTTCTGATGTTTCAGCATCTTTGAGTTTTTCTAAACCCCAATTCATTATCCTAATGGTAATTCTTTTCTTAAATTTAATATTGCATTTTGATATAACCAGTGAATGGTCACTATCTATCTTAAAACCGATGTTAGATTGACTAGATTTTATTTGATTGCAGAATTTCTTTTTTACTAGGATGTAATTGATTTGTAGTTTTATATCACCTAGTGCTTTCCAAGTGTATCTTCTTCGGTTTGGAATTTTGTATATTGTATTGGAGATAATTTGTTCATATTTTTCACAGAATCCAATCAGCATTTCCCTTTTTGAGTTCATAATTCCATAACAGAACCTACTTAGACAGGTATATTGTGAGATCTGACCACCCACAGATGCGTTAAAATCTCCCATGATGAAGAGGTTGGAATTATCTTCCGTTGAATTCGCCAGGTCTTCAAGTTGCTTACATGTATTATCAATTTCCTCATCTCTACTATTTGTTGTAGGTAAATAGACTTATATAATATACAAGTTAGTCGGCTGAGCTTCCAGTTTAATCATCATAATTTTATCATTCACATGATATATATTCAGAATAGTTAGAATAGTCTAACCCCAGAACCACAGAAGTAATTCTTATCCTAACTTATCATAATATTATAATTATTACCTACTACTACTCTACCTATCTTTTATTAACTACTACTATTAATGTTCAATAAGTGTTTTTTTTTGTTAATGTAAATCATTAATTTTTGTATAGAAGTCGCTATTTAGTCACTTTTCTCACTAATTTTCAAACCATTGAATACTTCCATCTTTGTTAAGTGGGAAATTGGGAATGTTGGATTATAAAATAAGGTGGTAACTATTATTTTTTTTATTGTTTACTTCCCTATTTGTTCATTACTATTCAAAAATATAATTTTTTTTGGAATAGATCATAATTATTCAACTGCTTCACGTGCTAATTTATTAAAAAAACAATATGCATCCCTAGAAAAATGATAAAATACCGAATATTTTAGTTATTTTATAAAATAAGTTTTTATATGTTACAATAACTGTTGATCAAACAACAAAACATCTTAAGAATACGCTACATATACATTTGTTGTTCCCGTCTTACAAACATACGATGTATAAAACATGACTATGCAGACTATTCAAAACTTGCTTAATTTTGGTTTTAGAGTAAAAATACCTATTAAACAATTAAAAGAGATATTAACAATATCCCGGAAGACAAGTTATTGCAATTTTTCCATTTACCGTTTATGAATAATGACTTTTCAACATTTGTTAATTTACTAAAATTTGAAAAAAAACCGCAATGTATTGACCACCGGAATATTGTTCTCTAATAATTTCATAATAAATGTTTTTACTCCAAAACAAAACCAAGCAAATTCTGTGTAGTCTGCATAAGCATGTACAAAAAACAACAAATTTATGTGTAGCATCCTTTAAGTAAAAATTGAATTTCCTTAAAGAAATTTGGAAAGTATAAATGACATTATATTGATTATTTTATTGTAACAGTATACATAATATAATATAGAGCTAAAAAAAATGTTTAATAACTATATTACATTGTTTATTAGTTAATAATTAAATCCATAAATATTGGCCATTTCTTATTCAATTTGATACTAACAACATTAAAAATACAAACAAAATATTAAAAAATTAAAAATGAAATTTATTTCTATTTACTTTTCGTCTGATATGATGGTTGATTTCTGTGCATCAGGGAACCTCTTTTTGTATAATTTTCAATGACATAAAATTGATTATTTTTGGTCTTATTTGTTCGTAGGAATTGGATTAAGAGTCACTCCTCTTTCAAGACTTAATACTTGCGATAATCTCTTAAGTAACAATGATAGAATTTACTCAAAGTACAATAATACATATTTAAATAATATAAATAAGTACACTTGACCTGAGTAACTCTAATCTACGATAGTGCCAAGTGGAGCGGTGGATAATAAAAATGTTTGAGTTACCCACCGACAATATTATTAAAACTCTGTTATTGTCGGGACTCTAATATAGTTTCCACTTGACTAATTTATACTACACACATGTAGGTACGTTCGTAATTCGTAATCCATTATTATGTTTGACTAAACAAAACGCGAACAATGTTCGAGAGGTGCTGTGACGAGTCAGTGAAACTGTATCGCGTTGTTACACTTCTAACCACACTATAGAAGCTGATGAATAATCTTGGCTACCATATTATTATCTCATTCGTCAGGATCAGACTCGAAAAACTTAGTTAGTTAGTACCTTTAATTTTTAAAAACAATTGATTTGTTGTTTACAAAAACATGGAACAGTTCTCTAGGTAAAATGTGAATCTACAGCATCAATTTTAATTTGATTTTGATAATTTACTGAATTTTTATAATTTAAGTGTGTAGTTTATGTTATGGTTATTTTTTTTTAAAATTTAATGTGAAACAAAAATAAGACGTCCTAGTATAATGAAAACGGGTGCAGTGTATATCTGTGAGCAACGATAAACCATTGCTGACGAAAAAACGATTCTGAACAAAGTTCAGTTGATAATGATGCCTTGTCAACAGTATATATATCATATTATGGTAAAACAATTAAATAGGCATCATATATTTTCTTTAATAATATTTGTTTAATATTGTATCGATTTTCCCAGGTTTTCCCATGATTTTTCCCGGATTATCACATTTGCTAAGAAAACTCTTTGTGAAATCGAAAATTGACCTCCCTAAAGTACCTTCCCAGTCAGAATTACTTTTAGAAAAAGTGCTATTATTCTAAATCGGAGCAAAATTGCTGGTAGAAAAGTTGTACACAGAAAAAATAGGCCATAATATATTTTTACTAATAGGTACATTTTGTACATTTTTTTTTCCCGATTTTTCCCAATTATTATGAAAACCGATTGAAAAATCACAAAAATGACATCCCTAAGTTACCCTAAGTTAATGGAGATAAAATTTCCTTTCAGAAAATAAGCTACACTTTATACATGGGAGTAAGATTATTGGTAAAAAAATCGTAAGGTATTTTTCGATTAAAACCATCCGAGAGAGTGATAACTAGGTCTTTAGGTACACTTAAAATGCATTTGTTTTTTCCCTATTTAGGCAAAAGGTAAAAAATAGTGCAAACAATAATTTCATTTTGAACCTACGACCCCTATAAAGACAATACGTATTCATAACCAATCGACTACAACAAAGAATTAAAAAATTTGTCAATATAGAGTTATTTACCATAAACATGTAATATCTTAACTTCATAAAGCTATAATTTCGAAACTTAGTCAGTCCGGTCAATTCTAACTTTACCATCCTTCTTAAATTGGCAATTTCCAAATAATTTTTTACTCAAACAATTTTCGTCAAAATGTAGTATCAAAATTCCTTTACAAAAACAAATACTATTAAACTTTTTTTTTTCTACTACAATTCTAAATTCTAAATTCTATTTCTATTTTTAAAAATCTGTATTTATCAATAAAAGTTTTTGATTTGCTTTAATTTTATAGTGCTGAAAGCCAAAGAAAAACCTGAACGATCTATAAGTTACAGTGTGGAAAATTTATTTTTAAATTTTGAGCATAGAGTTAAACGTATTATTGGTTTTCTATGATGTGTATTTTTTTATATCCAAGTTTATAATTTTTTTCTGTTTTTAAACCATTTTTATATAACACTATTATGTTATTATACAATTTTTTAATAAAACATTTTTCAATACAAGTACAGAAATGATAGGTACAAATTTTCACGCCTAGCTCTTTTTCAGTCTTGACTAGACAATTTTTTGTGCCTTCAATAAAATTTGGTTTTAGGGACATCTACCCATTCTGCAACTAGTAATTCATAAATCCTTTAACAAATCTATAAACTTTTTTTTTATTATGTAAAACTAATAGGATATGCAATATATTAAATTGTAAGTAATAAGGGAGTAAGGTAGTCTTGAAATAATAGATGATAAGTATTCTAGCTTAACAAAAAATAGATAAAAAATATTAAATGCCCTCCCCAGAAAATGTTTTCTGACTACCTTTCCCTTTTTTATTTTCATTCCATAGGTACCTACTTATTAAAAACAATAGGAAACGAAATATCCCTGTTTAAAAGAAATTCACAACCAGTTATTTGTTATCATCATTCTTATAATTAGTGCTCGGAATTATTAGCATTTGCATATTATTTTTGCTGACACCTAGAATATTTTGTTGCTAGTTTAGCTATTTACCTTTGATAAATAGGTAGCATAATCAAGCAACAGTCATTATTGCTGATTTTATCGGAAAATTTGGCTAGTTTCAAATAATTTGGTTATTTTAAAATCGTGTAAGTCGCATCCTAGGACTTAGGTACTGAATTATTAGCTCGGATTTAATTTTAATAAATTCTCAGTATTACTGCTGAGTAACTTCTCTCCTCATTCCCTCATGTCATTTTTAATATATCTGAACGCTCATATATTCATTGTAAATATTGTTATAGATTGTATGTATAATAAAAAACATTAAAAATTTCAATAAATTTAATCCTAACACTTTATTTGGCATATTTTCCAAATTTTAATGTTATTTAAAGCGTTTTTATTTTGGAGATTTTAGGTGCATTTTAAAGGTATCTCGGAAAAAAGTCAAATTTTTTTTTTCAAAATAAGTCTATAATATAAATAATAATAGATTTCATCTATATTCATAAACAAATTATTACTAATATTACTTATATTAATAATCTTTAATACCTTTCATTATTTGTATTATTTATAAATTAACTTTTTTCCTAAAAAAATGAAATCTGACTTTTTTCTGACTCCCATATTAAAGCGATAAAATTAATGTTTTTAGTGATATTATGTTCAAACCTGGCTTATAACGTTCCCAAAATTAAATATGAAATTAATTAAAAGTTAAATTATATAACTAATAAAACCACAGAAAAAATTATACATGTACGTAACTGATTAGTGAATGCACTCGACATAAGTATGAAATAATGTGACTATGGATTTTTTTTAAATTTGTATAGTACCATAAGAACAACTTATGATGAAACTTCTATTACATTTTTGAGCATATTTCAAAACCCAAATGAATTGTATAAGTATAAACAAAATAAAAATAATACAAACATTTGTATTGATATGAACATATAATGAAATGTAAAATAGAATTAAATTTTTTATATTTTAAATTATAAGCAAAGTATGCTTACTTTGTGGATATAAAAAATAACCAAAAATTAGCATGCAACTTCTTTTTATATATAGGAAATTTAGCACTAATGTTACTTAAATAATTTAATTTTTTTAACATTTAAATATGACATTGTGAACAGAAACTTGAATTAGCTCTACTCTGATTAATTTTTTAATAAATATTTTATTAGATTTCAAAAAATACAGTAATAACAATATCAATATAATGTGTATATTAATGAATTAAACAACAATTTACACGTATAATTTGTTACACTAAAACTACAACAAAGAGAAAAAAAATTCACTCAATTCATCTTAAAATATGAAAACTAAAATGAAATAAATGGGTATAGAGGTCTAAACTATAAATAGATGGGATGGTTATAATTTTTATAATTAAAAATATTATACCGAATGGAATGCGAACAAATTTTTAAAAATAGAATGTTGTTTTTTTTATGTATTAATACGCATGTTTTTGCTGCAAGGTCAGCAAAATTATTCTGCAAATTTCCTGTTTGGATTACGACCAAATAATGCAGTTCGGACAGCTGGAACTAATTGCTGTGCAATAAGTTCCAATCGTGATTCCAATGTGTTGCAAATCTTAATTTTATTTCTCTGTGCCAACAACTCAATGCCACCGCAAGTTTGTGGCGCTAAATATGAATCAGTGTCTAACTTCAGATTTACATCTTTCTGGGATACCGCCTTGTAGTCTGCTGTCACTTCTTCTAATAATCCTTCCACTACTGATACATCAACTTCACGGACACGTAATGTAACATTTTTCTCTAACAACTGAAAAAAATTATTAAAAAAGTAAAATCAGCAAAATTATTAGTAGGTGATCCATATAAGTGGCTATACTCAATATTTCGGAAGTCTTGAATATTTTCAAACAATTTTGTTTTTTTAAAGATTTAAGAAAGAAGAAGAAACAAGCAACTTTACAATTTTATATTAACAAATTATTTTTGGGGTTAACGCGACAATCCATGTTTGATTTTCAAATGACTTATTTGAAAATAAAAATAAATAAATAGAGTATTAGTTTAAATAAATTTAAGTGGCTGAAAATTTGAATTTCCTTCAGCTTTTTATTGATAAGATATTCTACTTTTATGTTTGAGTAGGAAGAAAGTTACCCCGTACCAAAACTTAAAAAAGGGGAATATATTGTTAACAGGTTCACTCACAGATATTAAAAATGTCATTAAAATAATAAAAAATAAACTTAATGTAACATCATTTTAGAATTGCTTGTTTCTTAAAATATCAAATACCTATAGTCACATAATGAATCACTTTGTAGTCAATTCACTTTAACAAAACCAATAGAATTGTTCATAAATACTACAGTAAATTGGACTATTATTACTTAGAATATAAGATACATAAAAAGATTATCTGTTTGATCACTGTTAATCAAAATATAGTTATAATACATATTAAATATATTTCAAATTAAAATTCTCATTTTGCTTTCTAATTTGTCTATATTTAATTGTTTTATTACAAACCTGCAAAATGGCTTGCAAAATTAATTTTCTGAGAACTTCTCTGTACAAATCAGGGTTAGATGTTACTTGGACTAGACGTTTTCTAGCTTCATCCAAGACATCGCCAACATGATCTTCTCGTACTTTCAATGTCTTAAGACGTGCTTGATTCAACATATTAGAAGATTGGCTAAATGTATTAAAATAAATTATTACATAAAAATGATATACATAACACATCATTTGTATAAAATTTAAACCATAATCAACAAATAATAATTATATCCAATTAAAAAAAAGGATTAATTATATTAAAACAACTTCAAATATACTATTAATAAACCACAAATTTAAAAGCTACCTATATTTTTTTTTTTACAAAAATTTAATGTAAAGTACTTCTCTTGGTTTTTTTCTAATATAAATTCTTTGAAAATAAATTATTATGGCAAAATATGGTTTAATTAATAGGAACCAGATTTATATAGGCCTTAGAATACACAAAAGTCACTTTAAAACTCAGAAAGCCCTAAATAAATATTAAAAATTACCCCTATAACACCTAATTTTTTGTTTTATTAAATTTAATTTTATTTAAAAAAATTACCTTGTATTAATCATTTTTGCAATTAGAAAATTGTGTTTTATAAGTTAGATTCATTAGAAGGGAGTTTTTTAAACCCCATTACCATTTCTTTTTTTTAAAATCATTTATTGACATTTGTAAGCATTTTAAGTGCATTTAACCCAACTAGTTTCAAAATTGTTATAGTACGTATTAAACTATCAATCATATTTTCAATTTGGTGTAATTCATAATACATATTTTGGATTATATTTACTTTCTAAAACTTTTATAAAATTAAAATTTTATACTAATTTCTACAGTTATCTTTTTGAACAAAAAAATTCCCATTCTGATTTGGAAATAAAAATAAATATACAATATTTCATTGACCACTGATAATAAAATTTAGATTTGGGTTTTAGGTGTATCCAGAGAAACTCCATAACCTTGAGGTGTGTTCAATTTGTCAATAACCACTTCAGAGGCACTCACATTTTTTTTTGTAACTCCACTTGCTTCTCTTTACGTTCAAAAAATTCCATGATCTTGAGACGTTGGTGTTGGACCAATCGACCCTTCTCTATGTTGAATTCTTCTTCAGCTTTGGCATCAATTTCCTCAGCTTTTTCATTAGCTTCTTGTTCGATGAAGGCCATCATGTGTTTGATCTGTACAAATGTGAAAAATTATCCATGTAAATGGACAACAGAAAATTTGAGTGCCCAAACGTCATTAACATTTTAATCAAGCAGTATGAGAATTGTTTAAGCTTTAAAGTTACTGACAAACAAAATTTAAAATATTATGCTTACTTGTTTTTGGACGTCGGCATCGCTAAGCGCCATTTTTGCTGCTGGTGCGCAGAACAAATGAAAATCGGAAAACAAAGGGGAAAAAAATCCTAAAATTAAATTAACTAAATGCCAAAAATCTTGGAGACGGGTGTAGGGTGTAGGTTCGAGCACTGGCAAAATGGAACAACCAACGCCCAATGGCAAATGAAAATATACGAATGTAATTTTAATAGCCTGATGGACGGGCCCGAGTCATAGAAGAAAATATCAACACGTTATCAGGGCGTTATCATGGAGGTGATTTAGAAAATCGAAATTTTTCCCAATCGTGGATCCCAAAATTACCGCGTTTGACACCAATTTTTTCGGATAGATGGTCTGGTTTCAGATCACGATAGAACCCAATTTTTCAACGAGTTCACGACCGTAACGACTTTCCGTAATTTTCTTTTCCATTGACGGCAATCGGCCGTGAGCGCTTTGTTGTTTGCCTACCAATATAAGAACCAGAGTTTATTCTATTGTAATACAGGTACATACTGTAGATATTATTATTATTATTATTATTATAGTCGCGCACAGCGGATTCGCAAAAGCCTACGAGCGTTCCCGTCCGACCCGCACTACCGGAACATCATCATCAACGTTGTCGCCTCTGAAACCACCTCCGCGACACTGCACTCAACTGCTGTTGATCAAGCGTCGAGTCCGGTGCACATTGAAAAAAAAAAAAAGAGTTTGGAAAAACTCGACCTTTATTTTTCTCTTACTGTTATCCGACTTTAACCTATGCGTCGTATCACTGCAGTATAATAGTGCCAGACGCCACTACGCCGCAACAACGATGACAACAACACCGACTCCGTCGTTTCCAATGTTAATAAACTATTAACTACAGTGTTATATCACATAAAGCGTCTTTTAGCGTTGGTGCGATCCGTTTCTACTTTCTGGGACAGCACACGCCGCCGTCGCTGTTTTCGACGCGAGTTCGCGCGAGCCATACGGACGTTTGCATAATATACAGTGTGTATTATTATAGTTGTGTAACAATTATTATATGAGCGAGCGTGCCAAAATTATCGAAACGACATCAAAACAATAACAACAACAACAGGGACGACACCAGCGTAAACACGGTAGCTTTTGTGCGTGCGCGCGCGCGCCAGACATGTCTGCCTGCAACGGACATTGTTGAACCACAGCAAACCATCGGCCGTCGTCACAGACTTTGATTTGCGAGCAGCCCACCCAGTGAGGTAGGTTATAAACCGTAGAAAACAGCACAGACAGACCTCGGGTAGTAAGTTATACGACCTCGGGGCTCTGTATATTGGTATGGGTTTTTTCACGGTCGCTTTTATTTTGTGATTAATCATTTTTCCCCTTTGTGTTTTCCTTTGCTCGCTGACGATCCTGTACAGTTTTCGACGGGTTTAAACCGTTCGTTTAAATATTTTCTTACCTACTGGTATTATATTCCAAATGTTAATTGTATTTATCCCGTTCGAGGGCAATCGCTAACCCTGTTTAGATACTACTCAATTATGAAATCCAGTCGCAAGGTTAATGTAATATTTAAACATACTTAGTTACCTATACGTTTAGTCATGCTTACTGATTAGTTTCAAATATTTTAACTAGGGCACGGATTTGTATGTAATAAAAAAGTCCAAACATGTAAATATTATGTTGTTATTTTTGACAGTTTGTACTTCAAATTAATTTTTTATTTTCAATCATATAAAAGTGTTGTATATATATAGGTTTATTAAATTAAATTGAATTTAGGATAAGTAAATTGTTTTTTATTTTATTTTTTCATAAATAAATAGATAATTAAATTTAAATGTATAGCGGTTATGTCTCAAAACTGATTTGTAGCGACTGAAGGCACGTTCAACGTCAATAATGAGAAATATTTCATACTTCATGTGTTTTCATTTTTATTCAGAAGAATATTTTTAATAGCTTTTAATGTCATACTAGTTATACTGTCTATGGAAATTTAATAAGTACCTAAATATGAATATACAAAATATTTACCAAATGTGTACTTATTGGTAAACTGTTTATAAATATGAATTATTTAAAATATTTGTATCTTATTTTATTTAGGGTGTTATGAAACATGCTTATTTTTAATCAGAATTAAGAAATCTGCATTTAATGAAATTATGTATTTACGTATAAATCCGAACCCTAATTATAACATATAAAGAACATAAATTACTAGATATTAATTTTGATCAGTAAAGTAAGGTATCTATAGTAAATTTTAAAAATAATTTAATAAAGTTGTGATTGCCTGTTATGATTAGGTACATCTAAAAAATATTGATCTATGTTTAATTTTTCTCTGCTAAAATCTGATACCTACTATTATGTTGGATTATTTTAAATAATATATAATGGTATGGTTATGGTTTAGGTTAATCATAAATTATTTAATCTTGCAATCATTATTTTAACAAATTTCTTGCTATTTTATTATAATAGAAATTCTTACTATAGATAAATATTCAAAACAGAACTCTCATAAATATTTTGACCATTTTTTAAGAACTGAACAGTGACTTAGTACCTGTCATGGTTATCTCTGTATTTTTCCGTGATTAAAACAAATCTTTCAAGTACGTTAAATAAAATAAAAACCATATAACTAATTTCCACAATAATTATCTTGCATCTGATTTTTCATCTTATTATTTTGTTGATTATAAAGAAAGAAAAAATGGAATAATTTAATTTAAAACAGTAAAATGATATTTTGTATTAAATTTGTATGAGAATGAAATTTCAAAATGTATGTATTGTTGATTTTTATTTTTAATTAGTTTACTAAATACTATTAAACTTAAAACAAAAAATTGAATACTCCTTTTTGTCAGTATTAAATACAAATTTTTCATAATTTTTTAAAATAAATAAATGTATAAACAAACTATTATAAATGTAGGTATTAATTTTGGAACTTATTTTGAAAGATACATATTTGTTTACCTTTATTAGTTTGTTTTTATTTAGGCTAAAGGTACATAGAAAATTTAGGTTAAACACTAATTGTAATTATTAATTGCATTTAAAACAAGTAGGTAAGAAGTTTCCATTCAAATTATATTTGTATCAATATAAACATTATATTGTATTATGTCCAGAGTTGGGTACTTTAATTTTTAAATGTAATATAATTACTAATGCTCTTGGACTTAAAATTAACAAAAAAAGCACCTTAAAAAATATTATAAAAACAACCTTTCTAACAACTTATCTTGCTTATTCAAAATATTTTTTTAAAAATAATGATTAATAAAAAGTAATTTTGTTAAAATATAATTGTACATATATTTAAAAAAAAAAAAAAAAAAAACTGTTAATAATTTGTGTAGCGTTGAATTTATTAAATTATAGATAGTCGTTAGGGAAAAGAAATTTGAACCCTTCTACTGTTTTTGCCTTTTAAATATTCTCCAAGTGCTTTTGTTAGAGCTTCTTTTGACAAAAGCTCTAGTAATTACATTAATTGTTTCATTTTTAAAACAGGTAACAAAATTACTCTTCTTTTTTTTATAAGTATAAATTTTTCAATATTAGAAAATTTAAAAGTAAATAATTCTAAAAATAACAATCAAGTCTATTTTATTTATATAGTAAAACGATTTCAATTTGACCATCACTTATTCTTGCCTATTTTTGACTGCATATATCTCCTCAAATATAAATAAATTATAAACAGTCTTTCAACTGGTTGGAAGTGTACTATTGTATTTTAAAAATAAACTTTTGATTTTAAAATTGATACATTATCAGTATATATCATGTTGAAATAATATTTCAGTTGTGAAGTAGACTGGTAGAAATCATCATTATTTAATCTACCATTACTATCTTCCTCCATTGCAATTTCATTAATCTCTGCACTAAATGATTTAAGTTTAAACTTAGGCTACAGAACTGAAACCAAAATAATAGTATTATTTTTTATCACATCTTCAAACCTAGTTTGAACACGTAATAAACATGCATTCGCTAAATTTTTACATACTCCAGCTGAAAAAGAAAATTCTATTTATTCTTTTTGAAGTCAATTTATCAAACATGACATAGCCATAGTCTAATTATCTTGAAGTATATCTAATGCTTAAAAGTGTAAAAATATATAAACATTGTATGATATTAAACATTTTTAACAAGAAGAATATTGTGTTATTAATTTCTAAACTAATCAAATTTCAATATTAACCTTGGCTAATAGATTGTGGCCTCGAAAATGCATCAAAAACAATTAGTTGTATTTTAAAACAAACATTTTACATATTCACATCTTATTTGTGTTTCTTTACCATGTGCGAAGATTAAAGCTCTTTTAATTTTTAATTATATTTTGATTAAAAAGTTATATTTTTAATAAAACATTAGTGCATTTTCATTTGTATTATATTATTTAATTAACACACTGAATTATGTTTATAACATTAACAAAGCACTGTAATTCCATGTGGTAGATGATTAGAAGGCAAATTGTTGTAAGTGCCATTTTTTAACTATTATCTAATATTTTCAATCTCACCAATATAATGTCACCATATAAAACACAAAAACATTGATTATAAGGTTTAAAAAATGATGTCAACTTTTAAGTAAGATTAATTAATGTATTATTACGACTCTTAATATGCTATTGTTTATTTTATAATTATTTAATCTGCAAATATCTAATTAGTCTAATAAATATATACTTACCTCAACTTTTTTTTATTTTAAATTTGAGGTACTTGGTACTGATTTGGAGTGTGTTTAAGAATTTGCAATTCATTGTACTAGTTTTCAACACATTTAAAATAATTGTTATGTGTTGACCATGGCAATGGAATATTATCACTATAGTTGAACATTGTGGGCGAAAAATAATAATTATAATTTATGAATAATCAACAATATAAATAAAGCATTAAACAAATAATAAACATCAAATGACTGAGTGATAAACTGACTAATGAGTGTACTGTGTTGCTACCGACCATCAGTAACTGTATATCATAACAAATATTTGAAAACATCAACATTCTAGGCGATTTCCAACTAAAAATAGACATTTATATCACAATACAATTTCTATAGCAAAAAAACGTCAATAAAATAAAATACCTTTATAATACCAGTGATATCCAATAATAGGTGAAAAATTAGGAAGGTGGGATATAAAGGGGAATTTAATTTATATCTGTACGCAAATGAATAATTTTTCAAAAAAACTTGAAAAATCAAAGCAAAATTGCTTGTAGAAAAGTTGTTTACAAATAATAAAAATTAAACATAGTAAAACCCATTCCCTTCTCTTGCACTTCTGAAAATTTAAAAGTAATTTTGTTTCTGTAACGAGTAATGTATGTTACATTACTACCTGACCCTGGTGTAGACCCAAATTGATGATAATATGTTATCTGTTATTTAAAAAAAAAAATAGTCTATTAGTATAATATTATAATAATAATAATATATCTTAGGTACAATTTACACTGCAAATAATATGTTGTCTTTAATTAAATTTGTTTATCAATCACAAATTGGTAACTAATATAATATTAAAACAAAACTTATTTGAATTTCGTTTGGTTAATGAAATTAAATTTGGTTTTATAAATAGTCTTGTGATCGAAATTTCTCATTTCTTCTATATTTATGTCATTATAATTGTTAACAGTTTTAAATTATTGGGTTAGTATTACTTTAAAAATTGCACATTAATTTTACATTAATCAGGCGTAGATAAATGTTAAAAATTTTGTAAACACTTGTTGAAGATTGATTTTATAGATAGGACTGAATAGAATATTTGCATTTTAGAGTTCCAATAAAAAATAATAAATATATACTTGTACAAATTTAAGACCTAACCTAACATATTACATTATTAAACTTGTTTATAATACTTTTTTACCTATTTGCAGCAAGCTGATTACAACACTTGTGCTTAGGCACATTTCAAAGTTAACAACAGACGCCACAGTGGCTACCGCGACAGCAAGCAAATGTTTACACCGCAACACCAACAGCTGTCGCCGAATCGGGCGTCGATCAACATGCAGTCGCCCCAAACCAGTAACCTTTCAAGGGGTATATTCCAGAGAGGTGGGTTTGCAACCAACCCGGGAGCGGACAGGCGAAACCATATGCCTGGTATTGCATCTCTCATGCAAGAATGGTTTGTTTTTATTCGATTTACTCTTTGTTGGGTACTCCTAACAAATTATGTGTAGAGCTGTGAATTTAGTACATTTAAAAAAAGTAACCTAAAATGTACTTAAATTGCCAAATAAGATCACTAATGAATTTTGAATAAATACAATTTTCAGTAAATTTGAATATTTAAAAATATAATAAGTTTTTTGTATAACAACATACTATATTATTGAATAGATAAATCATATATTTTTAATGTGCTTTAATCATTTCGTACAAAAATTTAAAAAAGAAAAAAAAACTGAAGAAATCTACCTATGTCACAGAATAATAAGCTAAATAAAAATAATTTTCAGACTTATTTATATTATATTATTTTAAAGATTATTTTGTAATATTTAGGAGTTCGACATCACTGGCGAATAACGCAATGAACAACTATGGTGGGTCAAGTTCGAGTAGCAGTCGATCTACGACATCTGGCTACAACTTGTCTTCCCAACACGGTTTTCATTCAGCATTCGGCAGTAACCATGTCGACAATGGCAATACAGCTCCTCCTATACTGGACCCATCCGAGTTTCCTTCTCTCACCACTGGACGTATATCCAGCAGTGGGCAAGGAGAAAATAATGGTGGTGTTTTACATTCCAGCACGATGCCTGCAGGAAAACCTTATGGTAAACATTCACCGTTCAAATCATTTGATCAGCTGTTTAGTAGTGAGTTAATATCGTTCTGTTTTCATGTGGTAACTAAGTGGTATAGCTATATTTGTGTGGGATCTATTACCCGTGATTTTGTTCAGTGGGTTTTAATTATTACATTCAATTATTATAGTGGGAATGGTGAAAGCCCCAGTGTCTGAAACAAGTGAATTTACAATGAGCAGTAAAGACTTTCCAGCATTGCCTGGTACGCAACCTCTCAGTGTTACGACCACCTCATCTTCGACAGCCGATCCGAATCAACAATCCTCAACAACAACTTCGGGCTCGGCGACTATTAATTCATTAGATCAGAATGGCATGCAATCGTCTACCGACCATGTGTCAGACACTAGACTGAACAGCCAAACGGACAATTCTCAAGAAAACGGAGACTCAGGAACCAAGAAAGGAGTGCAAACATCGCCCGATGGTTTGTATTTGAAAATATTAGTTTTCTGTTTTCTGTTTCAAAAAAATTATGAACAATATTAGGTATTATTATTTTATTGCATTATTTTGAAAACAAACATAAAATTTTAAATGCATAGTCTATAACTTGTTAACTATTAAATATGTAAATTGAGGGGGAGAAAAGTTGTTTATTACAGACTGAATAAAAGAGATTATAAATCTACTTCACTAGGCACCATTATTTTTCGATTTTTCTTCTTTTTTTTTTTCAATTGACAGTACATTTATCACTGATTATAAATTTAAAAATAATTTTAGTCCGATTTAGTTTAATATTGCGCATAATACTGATTTAAGTGTGTGCACTATTCATTATGATAATTATATTGTCACATTGCTTTTTGTTGTCATTCACAGACAAAGATTTTGATTTACCTAACTTAGTTTATACTGCAAACCAATGGTTATTTTTAACAAGTTTCTACATGAGCACACAAATCTCATGTTATGTTATGTCCAACTTTTAAATGTCCATAGCACTCAAGTCTGTTCAACTAAAAATGTTTGCAGATTTATAGCCAGTATTAAAAGTACTATCCAATAAAAAAAAAAGGCTATCCAATGAAATAGATATGTTCCTAAAAGATTAATATTATATTATACAATATGCCTAGTTGGTAAAGCCAATTGTTTTTATTAAATATTGATATGATGAAATAACTAAATTGTTTGGCAATAGATACATTTTATATAATTCAATGTATTTTAAATTTCAATCTCATAGGTAAAGTGACTAATATACCAGGCAGTATGGTGCGTGATCAATTTGGTATTGTTGGTCTATTGACATTCATTAGAGCAGCAGAATCTGATCCAAATTTAGTATCATTGGCTCTTGGACAGGATTTAACCGCACTTGGACTGAATTTAAATTCACCTGAAAATATCTATCCAACGTTTGCTGGCCCATGGGCAGATGCTCCATGTCGACCGCAAGATGTTGAGTTCCATGGACCACCAGAGTATATCATTAACCATGGAATCAGGTAAATTACACGGAAATAATACCTAATCATTTCTTGTTCAATGTTTATTAGCTTATTATTTGTTTTATAATTCTTTAGGGATAAGTTAGCGCAAGTTAAGTTGTCCAGGTATAAAGAAGACTTGTTGTTCTATCTTTTTTATAGTAACTGTGGTGATGCAATACAGTTAGCAGTTGCTAATGAGTTGTAAGTAAAATTTACAAGAAATTGTCAACAGTAATTTGTTTTATAATACTATGATGTATTTTTAATATTGCTATAGATACTCTCGAGATTGGCGTTACCACATGGAAGAACGTATATGGATTACACAGGCGCCAGGATTGAGCTTAATAGAGAAAACTAGTACGTACGAACGAGGCACATATTATGTGTTTGATGCTCTTACATGGCGTAAAGTGCCTAAGGAATTTCTATTGGAGTACAGCAAGCTGGAAGGTCGACCAACTGTTCCAAATGTGCCGCTTACCACCCCTAATCTACTCTGACACAACGAGCACCGTCGGGGCGTAGACGCACTGCCAGCAGCGACCGAACCTGACGTACACCAGCCCACGGCGGTCATATTCAATGCAGCCATCGTCAACTCCTAAATCCCTCATTATTTTACTAAAACTCCAACTGTATATTAATGAAATACCTGCAGAACAATATTATTTGCCCCACTACAATACTTCTATAAAAAGTAATACAAATTTTACAACTAATTATTATAATAACCCATATAGAATGCTGTCATTTTTCTGGTGAATACACAAACACCAAAATAATTTAACATTTATTATAAATACAAAAAGTTATTTATAGTCATTTTATAAAAGAAACTTACGTACAATTTTGTAAAGACAAAATAAACAAAAAAAAAAAAAAAAAAATCATACTTCATTTATTAAGATAATGTTATTTGTTTTAAGTTGATAAATAAAATTTTGAAACAATATATGTTTTATTTTTTTTGGAAATATTATCATATTTTCAAATGATTTAATACTTGAGGAATAAAACTGTTGGTTCACTGTATACAACAACCAAAATTTAAGAGTCAAAAACAGTCTTATCGCAAAAAATTATGACATTCTATTAAAGTGGATTAAAGACAGGTTTTTCTAGTATTAAATACATCTCAAATTCTATTATGTTGAAAATAATTACACTTCTGAATGGCATAGTTTATTTATTAATAAGGTGAATAATAGTTTTCATGCAGTATTTATTAACATATTTACTCCAATATTCTCATAGATTAGGCTATGCACTTATAATAAACTGGTTTTTTTTTCAAACTTGCCTTATCCACATAACTGTATGTATTGACTAACATACTTTGAATTTTTCACAGATGAAAATTATTTGTTATTATTTAAAATAAAATGGATGTAGTATACTAAGTAAATATAAGCATATTGTTATTAGTTATTCTTTTTCTAAAAAGTATATACATAAAACATTTTTTTGCAATTTATTGTTATATTTTCAACAAAATATATTTGATTACATTTATTTAGCGTCACAAATAAATATGAATACTTAGTAGAATTATGAATTGTTTTCATTTTAACCCCATGTTCATTAAATGGTGAAGGGTAATAGTGGATGATTCATAATGTATCAATTGTATAAAGAAAATAGATACATTAATTACGCTGTTATATATCATAAATATAAGTTATATTAATTAAGATTGGTAACAAATACCAATCGTAATTAGGATAATTTTTAACTATCCATGACTTCAAATAATTAAAAAATATGATGTTTTTTAGAATAGGAATATGATTATGATAGATGATATTTTATGTCTGTGAACAATATTTTGGCAGATACACATATTAGTGTTTGTAACTAGGAGAAAATTTTGTTTAGCTAGTGCATTAGAAGTCAATTTCTGATTTCATATATACAATTTTTAAAACTGAGGGAAAACCATAGGGGCAACTAGACTATTAACTTTAGAAGTGCTAAAATTATGGAGACATCACAAGCCCAAGTGTCCTCACAATCCTCTTTGCACAACATTTATAATAAACAAATGCACATTTGATTTACAATTTTTTATATAAAAATGTATTATAACTTATTTAACTTTATTTTTTACACATACATGCATTATCTGTAGGTAATGTTATTTTTCTGCTTATTAACTATGAAAATACATGGATAAAATATTTAACCGATAAGATAAAAAAGCTTATTGGGTATTTTTGGGATTGCTAAAGACCTCTAATTGCGTCTATGGGATTAACATGAATATTTACAAATAACAATATTTAATTGTTTCTGTTAATTTTGATTTATTTTTGGTGATATTCTCTCTAAAATCAAAATTAAGCTAGTTTTACTTATTCTGTGTAAATATTGTTTTTGTATGTTACCCAGTAGTTGGACTGATACAGTATATGCGGGTAAAACGTCCTCTTAATACAAATACTCGTAAAATGTAATAATTAATTTTTGATATTGAAGATTCAGTAAGTTTATTTAATATAATGTATGATAATCAACATCTTTTAAGGTATAGTGCAAACAAATTTGAACAATTTTAATAACCAAAAAAAAAGTTTTCTGTTCTTTGAGAAATATAAGGACCTAAGCCTTTGTAATTGTGATCAGCAGTCATTTGGTTTTCAAATTTATTTTAAGACCAAATAATATTACACATGACAGCCCCTATACAAATAATATTGTAACACGGCACACATTTTAGGAACCGCTGAATTATGGAATGAATGTCTGAAGTTTTATAATTAAAATGGGTAGTTTAAAAAACTAAATAGAATTATAAAGGATGTAGTAGTTCCCCCTCAAAATATCCCCTGTTAAAAATATTGTATATTCAAAGTATCCCCAGATATATAACCCCCTTATTTCAATTCTTATCAATACATTTGATATTAGAGGCTGGTGTATCACTACTATGAGTAAAAAGTTTGGAAGGTTTATAAGGTTTATAAATTTATATTTGTTAGCAATAATTTACACATTGTGGTTTACATAATGAACCGTTGGTAACCAAAAAAACGATTCTAAGCAAAGTTTAGTGAATTGTGGTTAATTTAACAATTTTATTCACATTTTATGTCTGTGTTTGTTTAAAATAATGAAATTGTGAATTCTTAGGTTTTTTCCTGTTTAATCAGTTTTATTTCAAATATTGCTTCGAAAATCAAAAAATGACCTCTTTAAAGTACCAACTAGAGAAAATTTCCTTTCAGAAAAAATGCAACACTTTATACTTTTAAGTAAGAATTCTAGAAGAAATAGTGTTAGAATATAGTTACAGAACAAAAGAAGAAAAAAAATAAACATCCTAAATATGAAATATTACTGGGTATATTTTTAATGAGGATATTATTAATGGGACAAGGGATATTTTAAGAGTGCACCATTAATTGTTAAGCCTGGTGATCAAATGGAGATTGTTAGTTATTTAAATGGGAGTAGGTACCAAGATAGCAATATTTAAATCATTAAGGTACTGAAATAAACAATGTAAACACAAAATTAAAAAAACGTTATTGTTAAATCAATAGATATATTGATTCCTCTTCCTTTATGAATATAATAAAAATAAAAAAAATGGAAGATAAATTTAATTTAATTAAAGATCTTGAAGATGAAAATCTATATTTATCAATTTGGCAACAGTTCAGGCAAATATTTTCTGATCATACCATCTCTACATGCAGTGTACAAAAACCGTGTGGAATCTGTACACACATCATAGACTGGCTCCACATTGTGTCCAGTCAAATATGCTTTTCTTCCGTTAACTGATCGTACCACACACGATCCATCAACATGCCCACAAACAACTAGTTCTTTAAAAAGGCAAAGACACTGAACTGGAGAATTTGTATCGAATATGCAGTGTTTAATGGCCAAGTGTTCGTCCAACCACATAACACGTCCATCACCACAGCCAACATATGATTGCGCATTGTTATCCACATGACAAGCATTTACAGAAACATCTAAGTTATTAGTAGCCAGAATTTTTCGTGAATACACTCCAATCAAAGAGATGGTTCCATTTTGACAACCAATTAATAGGCACTTATCGTCTGTTCCAATTTCTGTCTCGACTACAATAATAATCAAACACATAAATTAAAAAATTTAAATTCTTTTCAAAATATAGTTTTATAATAACAATTGTATTTATTTTTGGAGAAATTAAGTCATATGAAATTTTAAAATACAATAATACATTTATTTATCATTGTGAATCAACTATCAACTGTGCATTTTTTAATAATAACTTAAAATGAAATTATTATTATAACTACTTTTGATAAGAACTAATTTATAAATTTAACCAGCTCATTACATAAATTATCTATAAACTTTCTAAAATCAAAGAATTATTAAACATGTGAGTTAATATTAATGATAAAAAAATGATAAGCTTAAACCATAGACAGTATTTTACAATTAATAATTTGTTGGTTTTTATTTATATAGAAATGTATTTAATATAAATAGAAATATAACCATGATTTATGTTACTTACATACAGGTGTGTTACGTTCTCTGAGATTTATATTCTTTGGTGAACTGATTGAACAACAATTTATATACGTTGTGGGATTAACATTGATGATATTATCAATTACTTTTCCACTTCCAACATGCCATAGTTTAGCAGTTCCATCCCTATTATTCAGATACAAAAATTAAGAAGAACTATTTTGTTATTACTATAATTATCTTTTTGTGTCAAATCATTATTATAATATAAATCATATTTATACTAAACATACTTGGACACAGATATGATATTGCGCCCTTTGTCAATGATTGCTAAATCAGTAACGGTTTGGGTATGCCCTACTAGTGTTGATGCACATTCTCCAGAATCAGAACTCCAAATTTTGATTCGTAAATCTGTACCACAGCTCAACACAACCTTTCCACTAGGAAACCAACGACAGCAATATATATCACCATAATGTCCACTCATTGTGACCTATAAAAAAATAATAGATAATAATGATAGATATTTAAATAATTTATAATTTATAATTCAAAATGGACATTTTTTATTTCACTTACTTCTCTTTCCTTTTCATAATCCAAACTACTCCAAGACTTTATCATACTATCTGATGCAGATACACATTGGCCCCCAAATACATCCAATGATGTAACCTATATAGAATGGTTTTAAATTGCATAATCTATCACAAAAAGGTTAAATACATTGTACTTACACTTGCATTATGTACATCTTTGAAAATCCTGTATGGAGATAACAGTGTAACTGAAGCACAGGAAGAATGTTTTACTTGTATGGCATGTGCAGATACTGATTCTACCTCAAATCCATTAGTACCATTTAAAACTGGTATTCCATTGAGTTTAAGTGATTTGCATTGCAAATGTCCATGTATACTGGGCTCATCTAAAGAATTCCAATAATAATCAATCTTGTCGTAAATTATTGATTATAACTATTTACAGATGATGTCATATTAAACACATGAAATAGTATTAATCTTTAGTATAAAATATGATTATTAGGAATATTATAATATAATAGTTTACTTCTCTGCTTGACAGATATCCAAATTGGGTCACCAATTAACCTAAATAAATATATATATAGAAAAAAAATACAAATAATTTTGTTTTTTCTATTAAAACGTTATTAAAAATAAATAAATTTACCTGATGCAATCTTCCCAGTTATGTTGAATGTACATAGAGCACTCCTCGTTCATAATTGTTAACCAGTTCCTAAAAAATGTTCTAAAAGGAAATTTTTTGTATTAAATTAATAAAAGATTATCTAACTACAGTCATTATAAATGTATCAGTTTCCACACATTTTATAGTAAATTATACTTAACAATATTATATGAACTTAAAAATGGACAAAATAAAGTTTTTTTATAATTCATACAGTCTCATGGCTATTAGATACATAAACAGAGAACCTTTATATAAAGAATAATATTTAAGTAAAATCAGTTAATTTTCATTGTCATAAATTGCCTTAAATTCAGTAAAGATATTATATTAGGTATCTATATATTAATTTTACATTAAAAATGAAAAGTAAACATTTCATTTTTAATTTGATATTTTGTTTGTTTTCCTAAATATAGAAATGAGCCGATTATAATATTAATATACTAGTATATTATAATAATTACCTTTGAGATCAATCAATACTCGAACAGAATCAACTGATTAATGACTATTAGTTTTAAACTTAATACTTATACATTTTTTTTTAAGTTTAATTTATTTATTTGTAATATTTAACTGATAAGGAATCACGAATCACAAACTAGAATCTATATAAATAGAAAAAATGATACAAATACAAAAAAAATATGTATTTTAGAAAAAATTTTGAAGAGGTTGAATATGTATTCAGAAAATAGTTCAAAATTCAAAAGGAAAAATAAATTTTAAGAAGGATATTATACAACTATTATAATTAACTGGATAAATAAATACTATAAATGGATACTTAAATACTGTCCTGCCATCTACTGACAAAAACAACAAATACAAAAGTATCAAAAATCATGGTTTAAGGTTAAATATGTTGTATAATGATTTACGATATTAATAATTTTACTATGGTTAAATGCTGAACAAACAACATCTAGTGCTTTTAATTGCACATTAAGTGCTTTGTTGATCTAAAATTCGCAGATTTTATAGAGCAAAATGGTGTACCTACAACAATTAAGACTTTCCAATAGTTCAACGCGAAATGTACTTTTCTATTTGTATGAAAAATTCAAACAGTTTAAATATGTACTTATTAAGGAAAACAGTGCACACTAAATTTACCCAAAGTAATCGATATTTATGTTTTTACTGAATTTTTTCTAAATTCAAATGAGTATAGTGTTATCTCGTTATGCAAAGTAACAGCTGTATGTTTTCAGTTTTGGAGGGAATTTTCAATTAGTCTTGTAGTTGATAATATACCTACCCATATTATTAGTATGATTTGTGTATATAAAACAATATTATGTGCTAACATTTTTATAGTTTCCTTTTTTTTTTCTGTATAATTCATAGGTATTTATTATTTATATCATATGTGTCTATATTAGTTATTATTATTAATAATATGTCTTAAACGTTTCTCCAAAGTAGGACCAGACCTTATACTAGAATAAGATTTATAAGTACGACAAACAATTGTTTCCTAATTTAAATTTTTAATGCGATTTATTTTTATTGCTTTTCAAAATACATAGTCAAATGTTAATTTCAAGTAATTTATTGACTTGCTAATATAATAATTTAATAGATTGCTATTTTTTTATACATCAACTCTCATAGTTTATTAAAAGTTGTGTTGGATTGCGAGCATAGCGAGTGAGCTATTTGATTTTACAATGCTGTTTATTTCTTTTTTTTTCTTTCTTTGTTCTAGTTTGTGGACACATTTTTCCCTAGTAAACTTGCTCCGATTTTTACGTAGAGCAACTTTTCTGATTTTTGACGCCATTTTTTTAAATAAAAGCACTTTAGTAGGAGAAACGTAAGAAAACGTAAAATTTCATGATTTCATTATTCTATAAAAACACGTACGGCATTTTCTACAAGGAAAAATGATTTAATCGAAAAATCACAAGACACTTTTTTTGTTGCCTTTTTGAACCTTTTCTTACGGTATCATCGCCAAAACTTTTGAGTTTTTAAAGAATTTTAATTTTTGTAAGTTTTTTTGCTGTAATTCAATTATAAATACTTGTAGACTTGAAACTTGGTATAATACTTATATTGAACATACCTAGACGTGGTAAAATTTTCAAAATCATTGGACAACTTTTTTTTTAAAAATGTTTTGAAATCAAATTTAAATGTAAATCGCAAAAAAAAAATACAGCATTTTAAATTATGTATTACCGAACTGCCCTCGGAATTGTCTTTTGTCAAGTAATGGTTTATCGTTGCTTACTGATATAAATGAAATAACTTTATGTATCCTAACGTCTCAACTTCTCACATACAACAGTGGCCGCTCCCATCCCCAATATTTTTTATTTTGTGTTGTAATAATTAAGTGTACAGAACTAAAAAAGTTACCAGCCTATGATTATTTAAAAAATTATATATTAAGTATTTATACTGTTTATAAAACAAAGCATATTATTAATGGGTAAAATATAAATTGTTCACATCCCTAATTACCTTAAAGCTATTTTTGACCTACTCACTTACGGTTAGGCAAAACAAAAAAAAACCACATCCATTTTTAATATGTTAATTTCAATAAATATCTATGAAGAAAAATACATTTAAATAAACTTCATAAATTAGTATTTAAATAGTAATGAGAAATAAAACATAATTTTAAAATATTTACTATGATAATAACAAATTCAAGACTGGAAATACTAGATATTTCTAAAATATCTTCATTAAAGTTCCATCTACCTTTTGATGTTATGGTTTAAAGTTTTAAAAAAAATATCTAACATACCCACAGAAAATTAAAAAAAAAAATACTTTGCGTTAAATCTCTCATGGAGAGTGATAAATTATATTTTCAATATTTTTTGACATTCTATAATAAATTTTATCGATTTAAATAGGTAAGCTAGAGTGAAATACTGTAACTGTGTTATTTGAATTTCTGGCTTAAATTTCAATCTATTTCAGTAAAAATGTGTTAAATTAATTTAAAAAACAAAACGTTCATTTTACTAACAATTTGATTTTTGTTTTACTGCTTTAACCAGTACTTAGCAGGACAGAATAAAAGTAGATAGCTATTCATTATAATAAAAAAATACCAATGTTAATTTAAAATTATCAAATAGTCTAGTAATTATTGTGAACATACATAACTAATGGTCATAAAAGAAACAAAATAATTTGGATAAACTTTTTAAATCAAACTTAATAATAGTTATATGAAAATGTTATAACAATAATAAAATAAATGTATAAATATATATACATATTTCTCAATAAATGGTTAATGATTTTTCAAGTAATAAATTTAAATCTTCTTCAGATTGCTCTCTTGGAGCGAGTTTTGTTATTCTGTGTTGCGGTAATGTACCTTTTACTAATTCAGGAATATCATCCTTGGTATACCCGAGTGCTGACAACCCATTATCAATTTTCATGTTTTGCATGTAACCACGTATGACATCAGATAAAAACTTTCCAGCATCTGCATTTTTGACATTGCTGATATCAGCACCCAATAGTTTTGCTGCTTCAATGTGGCGTTCTGGATTCGCCGGGGATGTAAACTCAAAAACAGCAGGCGCTGACATAATCACACCTAACCCGTGAGGAATGATCGGATGATCAGCTGTGTAGTCGGTAGCTTGATATTTTTTGACATTACTCGATATAGGATATGAAAGTGCATGACACAAATGAACACCTGCATTTCCAAAACCTACACCGGCCATTGTTGATGCTAAATGCATGCTGGACCGAGCTTCAAAATCTTCAGGATCGTACACTGCCCTTTTAAAATACTTCCTTATAACATCCAATGCATATCGAGCCCAAACATCTGAAATTGGATTACTTCCCTGGTAAGTTGGTCTTAAAATTGGATTAGATGGACGTGGAGATCTCTCGGTATACGGTATAGCTGTAAATGATTCCAATGCGTGGCCAAATACATCGAAACCACTGAATGCGCATACCCTTTCTGGTTGACATAAAGCATGTAAAGGATCAACAATGCCCAATGTAGGTCTTAAGGCTCGATTGGCAATACCAGTTTTGGCTTTTACTTTTGTATAATCAAAAATGCAAACACCAGTAGTCTCACTTCCAGTACCAGTAGTGGTTGGCACAGCAATCAATGGTTTCAATTTCACAGTTACTGGTTTTCCTTTTCCAATGGGCGGATTTACATAATCGTCCAATTCAGCTTCTGGGTCGGAATAATACAAATTAGCTGCTTTACAAGTGTCCATGACGGAACCACCACCAACCGCTATAAATGCATCAAATTCTATAGTACGCACAAAGTTGGTGGCAGCTTCAAGACTTTTCTCGTTGGGTTCCACTCTGACCTTATCATAAAGATGATATTTTACTCCGTTTTTGGTAAGAGAATCAAGTACAGCTCTAACAGGTGGCAAGTTGACTAAATTAGAATCAGTCATTACACACACAGTTTTAGCCTGTATATTATTCATGTCCATACCCAGTTCTTTAGTGACACCTCGTCCATACCTAATGGTAGAGCACGCCATTTCAAAAGCATACTCTTTTTGATCTACATTAGAACTGAGCCTCGAAGGTAGACCTCCTAAATTCGAATGTGCTGGACATCTACATGAAACAGAATTCAACTTATCCATCAAGTTTATTACCCTAGACCTCATCATGTTGCCGTTTCTAGAAATGTTTAAAAACAATACTTATTACTTATAGAAAACATGTGCCTATGTCTTAAACAATAATTTGATTTTTATTACTTACTTTTTGAAAAGTTGAATTTGTTTTAAATCACTATACTTTAATATATTTTGTCTAGTAAATCAAATGTATGGAAAGACCATTCGAAATAACCGCTGTCCACTGATTACTGTTTGTTGAACTCTAACTGAAATGTGTAAAGTAATGTAGGTACAAAAGTTTAAATATTTTAATAAGAGTATTAAAAGTAATCATCACAGATAAAAGGTCAGTTTCGTTAAAAAAACAAAATTTAATCAGGTGATAACAATAACAACAGGTGTTACCCAATGGTCAGTGATTATTTTGCATTATACATTTATGTATCGTTATTGATTTCCGTCAACAATTCATTTTTATTCAAACCCATAATAGTCATAAAAAGGTTTATTATTATTTATTTTTATTGTCACCTATAGGAATACGGTACGGACATGTCGAACATAGTTTAAAGATTCCCAAAGGATTGACAGGCCATTAAAAATAAATGATATTTTAAAACAATGTTTATTGGAACACCATGTTCTTCCTGTGAATAATTAACGTCATTGACACTACACTAAGTGAAGGTATTAGATGGAAATCACTGAAGTGGTAATAAGAACACTTAATATGCTGTTTTGACTTTTTAACTTGTCTTTAAAAATAAATTGCAGATAACTATTAAAAATAGGTAAATAAGACCTGATATTTCATACAGACCGGTATTTTATCTAAAAAACGGCCAATGTACTTGAACTGATCAGAATGAAGTAGGTACTTTTTTCATCGTGGTTTCGTCATGGTAAAACAAAAAAATTGTTCATTTTAATTTATTTGGTTATTATAATTAACAGCCGCAAGGGGTAAATTTATAAATGTACAGAATTTGTTTACATCAACGTAACACTAAAACACATAAATACAACTTTAAACATAAAGTACAACTAATATAATACATAGGTACGATCTCAACAAGATAATTGAATTAAAATTAAAATCAAAATTATTTAATTCGCTACATGACCTAGACAAGCGGCATATCGGACTATTAGCTGTACGTAATTTCCTGGAACTAAACGGAACATAGGACGTAGATTTAATTCTGGAATCAAAAGCAGGAACATTAAATCTAATTTCCGATAACAACTCGGGACAATCTAATAGTATTACGCCGTTTAATAGTTTGTACACAAACGTAACGTCTGAATATATCCGACGGGTAGCTAATGATACTAGACCAATTTGGTTAGCAATATCAGAGGTAAGACATGCTATCTATAAAGTCCATTTTATGGCCAAACATGTGAATAAAACGCTTTTGAATTTTTGTAAAATTTATTAATTAGCGTGGGTTGAAATGGGTTCCAAATTCTAAAATAGAAATATAACCAATCATTTTAGATATTTTATAGTTAAATAAGTATTAAGTATAGGTATAAATGATTCGAATTTCAGGTCTTGACGATTTGTTTTTTTTTTTCTTTCCGAATGCACCAACCTTTATTGTAGATAGATAATTCGTTTCAATCGTCCAACGGATTGCTATGCGGTTATCGGTTTATCATTAGGCGCATAATAAAACTGTAATAGGTCAATATTGATAGGTATTATTAATGATTATTGGTACTTATTATATAATTTAATATATTTGTATTTAAAAAAAAAATAAAAATAAAAATGGTAAGTATACCAAGTACTAATTACATCAGTAGCGTATTTTTTAGGATTTTGCCGAGGAGGGAGATATTGAATTTGAAAAACGTTTCATAGGTAGGTATTGTACCTATAACGTGTACCCAGTCTAAAAAAAAGATACATTTTTAATTTATACGTTTTTGGAAGTGACGTACAATATTCTAGGTATACCTAGATAAGTAATTATTACTAATTGTTTTACGGTTTATAGATACTAATCTAATCTCTTTCAAATTTTAGTGGTTTGAATAGGTTAAACCTATAGGTTTCATTTTAAACAAGAAAATGTATACGTTTTGATTTTTTAAAAAAATTAAAAATTATTAACAATAATAATAGGTGGATACCGACACATCAATTTTTTTTTATTTTTCTGACTAAAGAGTAAAGCAAATTAAATTGAAAATAGGTAGTCATGTATATAATAGATTCGATGGGGGAGATATATCTCCTCAATTTCCTCCTGTAAATTATATGCCACTGCAAAGTACATAGATACTGCTAAACTAATTTATAAGCGAGTAGGTACGAATAATCGGAATAAAAATTTACCTACCTACTTAGTTACTGAAGTCTGAATAAAATAGACGTTGAAAAAAAGAAAAACCATTCAATTAATTATCACAGATGGTCCGTAATTCCGTACCCGCGGTATCTAATGTCTGTATAATCTATCTATAAATCTATAATCTGTTGTTCATTGAAGACGAGCGGGTTCCAGTACCTGCCGACAAGGCGACAACTACCTATAAACATTACAATAATTAGCAATCTGAACATAAAGTTATATATATAAATAATAACGTTTTCAAATTTTCGCGATTGAAATAGATACCAAAAGTATGTTCAATCATAATACAGGTATCTAATGATTTAAAACAAAATAAATACCCGTCGGGTGTTTAAATCCGTGGTATAGGTACGCAATGAATTTACTTATACAAACTGTCGGTTGTCGAACCGATTATTGAACTAAGATATTTATTTTTCTAGTTTGTGGATATATTTTCTCCTAGTAAATTTGCTCAGATTTTTGGATCAATTATTCAAGAAATAACATGAAGAACAACACAAAAATCAAAAAATGATTTTTGAAGGGTTTAAAAGGTAAGTAAATTGTCAACATTTCAAATAGCTTAAGAAATCAATTACGTACGTACCAAACAATTAGCAAAAGTTTTTTATCTTATTGACAAACAATTAGCTTTCCACAATTCCACGGATCAATGAACTAATTTAATGTTTTTCCCCCTAACTGCTGTTGTATATATCATTTGTTAACACTAATAACAAAAATGCTACACATTTGTTGTCTGTCTTAATAACACATAACATAGAATATTTGGGTTAAACAGAATTAATGTTGGGCTCAAGTTTTAAAACTAGAGTTATGAATATTATTTGTATCTATATGTCGATTTTGTTTATGATATTTTAATTTTTAAGCAAGATAAAAGTATTTTTAAATTGTGATATTTTACACACTTACTCATAACTCACTCAAAAGTTAAAATATCATTAAAAATCAACATATCAGAGATAATATTCTTCACTTTGGTAATGCTGCTGAATATAAATTTGATATGTAATCTATTTGTAAGATGGAAACAACAAATACATGTATAGAATCCTCTAATTTTAAATTATTGAAATTTAATATTGTAAAATGTTGATTTCTTATTAGCATTGAACATATATGATCTATATTACTTTTACTTCTACTAATTTCAGTGTATCAATAATTCAATTAGACACATTGGAATATGGTCCTATACACGGTGAACTACTTGTGTTTGTTTGAATGAGGATTAACAACGATCAACATCTGCTATAACTCATTATTCTAGACGAGCTGAAAGGGGCACAACAGATTTCGGTATACAGGTAAGATAGGTAGAGTGGTACCTAAGCTAGAATTTCACAAACATCAAAAATTAAAAATACATTTTTGTAAATAATCAACATATATATAGTATATATATGGGTACATATAATGTTTATTAACACAGCTGGTTTTTATTTAAAAACTAAAAAGGCATTATATATCTTGTAATGTATCATTTTTTTATTATTCATTTTTTTGGTTTTATGTAATAATATTTAATAATAATAAACAACATTTTAACTCTTTGCGCTCCATAATATAATATATTATTAGGTATTTAATAGTAGTAACAATAAACGTGTACTTAGGTTGGTTCTGTAAAAAGAATATTATGTGATTGATCAGCAACTAAATACATTTTAGTATGATGTACCGTTGCTCATATAAAAACAAATAATGTTCCAACATTAAAATATCTATAATAATTGTATTAAAAATTTGATCCAACAATGGAGCGCAAAGTGTTAAGTGCGTTTTCACAACTCATTATATATACATTATAAACAATGTTATAAAATCCAAGACTCAAAACAAAAACATCAACAATTTGTTAAATATATAAAACACATTTTCTTTTTTCTTACGAAAATGCATTAATATTCAGACGGCATTTCCTTTAAAATTTAAAACAATTGTAACAAACTACATATAATAATTCAAGAAAAGTAAAAGCAGCCTAAATATCATTGTCATAATTTTATTAAAGATTAGTTCATAATATTTTAAATTAGTGTAACATTAACATTAGAATCCAAGATATGCAATTTTGGATTGTCAACAATTTTCTAAATATTTAACAAGCAGTTAAGTATAAGTATTGATTACAAGTGAAGAGTAAAAAATGTGAAATATTATTAATTCACTAAACTTATAGATTTACTATAAGAAACAAATTTTAACAATAGTATAAAAAATGTACACTGTAAAATATTGCATACAAGAATTCAATTTTTGCCAAGTACATTAATTAATTAGGTGTAATTTATAACTCTAAAAATAAATTAAATTTCCTAAGAGTATATATGTACATACTATAAAATAAATCACAAAATATAAGTACTGTAATTCAAGAAACTTGAGAATTTATATGGACATGTCATAAAATAACAATTTTTAGAGTACATTGTCAATGTACATTAAATTTACGATTTAAATTACATTATATTAATCAATATAATAGCAAACATGTTGTGAAAAAGCCATTGGTATTCTCCTCGAGTTTCTTGATTGTCTAACAAGAATACAATATCCAAAATCCATTAAAGGCGTAAGTATAGATAATTGAATAATAAAGGCATACAATATATTCACGACAAAATATTTATTTTGTCATGATCATAAATATTAAGTAGTGATGACTATAAATGTTATACTAAATGTCATGACAAAAATTGTCCAATTACAATAAAAATAAGTTTGTTAAAATGTTGTAAGATTAAGAAAGTAATATAGGAATTGTTAAAAACATGAAACTGAACTAAAGAACATTCAAAAATCATTTGCTAGTTAAAAATCACTAGCATATTTTGTAAATACATAAATATAAATGTAAAAGCTCATTCATTTCAAAATTAAATTATATTAACCTTTGCAACAAAAAAATAATTTAAAATAATAACAAATTGGGACGGTGTGTTTATTTATCATCTCACTAGTTTTTTTTTTTTTTTTTTTTATAAATTGTACAACTTAATCATAGACACTAAGTAAAGTCAACTTTATGTTTTCTTTATAACAGTTACATGATGTGAATGAACACAAAGCGTCATGTTTTGAAGCTACTAAGGAGATTAGGTATTAACAGATGTGGAAAATCCGACTGGCCATACTTTCACCCTACAAATAGAGATACTTCAAAGGAACAAGAGATATTAGAGATCAACAAATATTTAAGTCAACAATCGACAATATAAAATCATTTAAAAAAATAATAATTATGTTAAGTAAATAACAGTCGTTTTCTTAATGTTGTTAAATAAAATAAAAATAATAAACTTGCCGCAATTAAAAATGTCTTTCAAACAAAATATTAAAATGTTTTCTTTTAAAATTTTTCATTTATAATTGTATAACATTACTGTACAAAAGAGTAACAATTCATAAATACTCTTTAAATCATTAATTGAATCAAAAAAAAAAAAAAAATACAAATATTTATCAGTCTTTCCCTAAAGCATGAGTCGGAATTTCCACATGCCATACTGTTAACACCACTAATCATTTTTCATATTATCATACATATTGTATTTCTTGTTCTTCACACTTGTCAATAGTTGTATAATGTATCTTCCTCGAAGAAGTATTAAACTCTGGTCTAAATCGTTTTAATCCAAATCTCGACACATACAATACAGCTCCCAAAAATAGAATTACAGCACCAAATACAAACAATATTACCATTGTGTGTCCCTCGTGATTATGGTCAACTAATGTTGTGTGGATTGGACAATTAAATTTATGATAATCAGCATAAGGATCGAGTGGGTTTCCTAACACATCTTGTCTACATACAATTAAATCTCCGTTACGAACAATTACATTTGTGTTTCGTTTCCAATTATATATGATTTCAATGTTACAGCCACACGAAAATGGGTTGAAGGTCAAGTCAACAGCAAAAGTGCTATTGTTTAATTTTGAGCGAACTGCTGCACTATCTAAGATGGCGAGATCTTCTTCATGAAATCCGCGTATGCGATTACTTTCTAGATCTATGAAACGTAAATGAGACATACAGCTTATATCAAAATGAATACCAGTAAGTAGATTGTTGCTGAGATGCAAGTCAAGTAGATTGCTTAATGGACAGAAGACACGAGGTTCTTTAATGGAACTTATCTTATTGTGTTCAAGATGAAGTTTGGCCAAGCGAGTCAGATTACTGTTCTGGAATACTTCATACAGATCAGTAGAAATGTTTGCAACACCATTATCAGCAAATGCGCTTGTCAAATGTAGTTCTACCAAACTAACAAAGTTTGAAAATACTCTATAAAACATAATTCAGCATGATAAATAATTAATATTTTCAAATTTTTATTACAGGAATTAGTTTAATAATGCCATTATGTTTCTTTTATTTAAAACAGTAAATTTAGATCTATTTGAAAACAGATGATATTATAGATAAGTCATTAGATATTTAAATTTTTAGTATTTTTTTTTATTTAATAAAATAATAATATACCATTGCAATGCATAGGGATGGATATTTCAAGTTTTTCACAATTCTTATTACTTTAAAAGCATTCAAATCTATAAACAACAGTATTTGTACTTAATATATTTTATAAAATACGTGGAGTTTTAAAAACGAAGTTAGGAACAAGGAATCATGATTGGGTTACCTAACTGTTGAACACTAATTGGTAATTTAACTTTCTTCATAATATTTTAAATAACAAACTTTAAAAATTGACTTTTAAAAATCATAGACCTTATACCAATAGACAAGAGAAGATTGCACACCGAGTATGGAAAGATAGGAGGCGCTTTTTGGTGACTGAGTGACTGTAAAGTTATCATATTCTATTTCTATAAAATATTGTATCACTTTTCGACACCCATATTTATTTGATCATCCACCATTCTTGCCTATTTTATATTTTGTTAATTTACCAATCATAACTAATATATTAAATAAATATTTTTTTGTTCTGTTGTTATGTCACTTTCTGTTTTAAATATTAGTTGAAAATATTTATTACTAAAATGTTGTAAAAATAAGTTTGGTTTAAAATTAATCAAATAATTTTAATAAATCACTTCAAACAAAAAATTATTCTCAATGAAATAGTAATCTATAATCTATATTTAATATATAAAAATGGATGTCTGCTATCTGTCTGTATGAGACAGACAGTAATAGATTCAAAAACTATTTGATTAATTTTTAGTACCGCAGGAAGAAAAATATACAATAAATAATATTCACTCCTTAACTATTGATTAAATGCACAGTAAGTTTACATTAATTTTAATTAGCATATTACGGTAAAATTAACACACCTGGTGTCAAGACACACTACATCACTGTGATATGTTTCCATGCAACTCATAAAATCTTGTCAATTAGTAAAAGTTTTATGTTTAAAATATTATCTTAGTGTTTGTTTCCAATAATTGAAAATATCTAATAGATAAGAACATATTAACTTACTGAATTTATTTGAAAGTCAGCGAAAAAAGAAAAATATGCGTCATTGTAAAACTATAACTTTGAAGTACTGATCAAATTATGTACAAAGAATACAGAAAAATGCATTTTAGATATTAATTTGATTAGCATAAATATTATAAAATTTTAAATATATTTCTCTACCTAATCATAATAATTTAGTGTTTGAAATACACAATGCAACTGTAGCAATAATATGTTTCTAAGAAGAATAGTTAATTTTATTAATGTCACTGGAAATTCATTCAACTGTTGTTCAAATTATTTTGTATTAGGTACGTAAATTAAATTTTTTAAATATTATTCTTTTGCTGGCTTTAGTAAATATGAGTAAGTAAATTCCTGTCCTCTGAAAATTCAACAGTAAACAGAAAATTCAAGTACACATACAGATGTTTTTAATTTTTTATTTTAAATTTACCGATATATAATATTTGTTAAAAATGGTTATTTATATACTAATGTATTAATCAACCACACATTTTGGTTGTTATTAAATAATTCAACTAGGTATGGCTTGTAGTACAAATAACACAATGAGATCACACAACCAGGTACCTAATTAGTATCACAAATGAACGTGAAAAGTACGACCACATTAATGAAATCACCCATTTATTATTTATTCAAATTAAATTACTATTTGATAATGAAATCTAACTTTTCAAAACTTCCCAATTTCACAATAACTTAAAAATATATATATATACACATATTATAGGTAATAAGATGTTTTTTTTCAACCAGCAATAATCATCAACCCTACCTGGATACTTTCCGCTGGAATTACATCAGGGGGAATAGAAACAGTAGTAGTAATAGTATGTATGTTTACCAAAAATTATACTAAATTTGTATTCAAATTTTAAACAAAAAATACTACATGACTGAATTATTTATAGGTTATCATATAATATAATTTTAATAAATTGTATTCATTACTTTCAAAACAATTTGTGTATACTAATATGAGAATATTAAATAATATATATATTATAATATACACTAATGATTTTAATTTTCAAATACACTAATTTTATTACCCATACCAAACTATATATCTGTAATTGACATAACAATTTTGCCAAGATTAGATCAAATTGAATATCAATACTTGAATAGTTAAATTGAAAAAGTTGGTAGTACATATTATATTAATAGTTTGGTGTGGGTAACAAAATTAGTGTATTTGAAAATTGAAATCATTAGTGAATAATTTATTTGTCAGAGAAAACAGCAAATATTAAGTCATTTAATCCAAAAACTTCAAAATGTTGATTAATACATTTCAATTCAAGTACCTACCTTAAAACAATTTTCGAAAATATAATATAAATTTAAGTAGAAAAATAAGTTAATCATCATTATTGTGTATCTAACTATAGTGAATTTGAATATTGGGAATTATTCAATTTTATTACCTAACTGCTTTGTATACAATAGGTTAGGTTAGATAGATACTACCCGAAGGTGATATAACCAAAACTCACCTAGGATGATGAAACCCAATGCCATCCAATCCGATATTATTGTTATTAAGTATCAAACGTTCGACAGCCAAAACGTGATGGTAACTCTTGCCTTTGATTACTTTTATATTGTTGTTAGACATGTCCACAAACCTCAATTTTTGACTTAAGTTAACATTATCACCAAATACGTTGCACGGCAGTTCATGCAAATTGTTGCCCGTGAATATCAACACCTAGACAGTAATATATTAAATATAAGTAGGTAATCACTAACCACGACTATATCGAATTCTAAAACAATGCAACGAGAAACGTTCACATCCACAAAATTGAATAATTTACTTCAGTCTCATCGGGCAGATTCGTGAGTGCCTCCAGACTACGGGTGGTGGACAGCGATGTCCCGGTGCAGTTGACTGCGTATAGCTCCTGTCGGTCGTATGTAGTCTTGCCACAGTAACACTGTTTTAGTTCGGGCTTTGTGCACTTGGTCGGCTCGCACATGGCCGCCGGCAGACACAGCACCAGTGCCACGGCCACCACGGTGGTGGTGGCGGTGATGGAGTTGGCGATGTAGGCAAACTCGATCATCGTCGGATCTCTCGGACCTAAACACAACCCGGTGGCGGGTGTAGGTATTAGTAAATTTGCGTCCGGCCAGGCGGGCGGCGCGAGCTACCTACCGAGGACACCGGACGGGTCACTGCCGGCGGCTGGGTTCGGGGACGCACGCGAGATAACCGCTTAACGCCGACGGTGTTGAGTAACGAATTATTTTATCGAACAAACAAACATTACACGACCTAAATATTAAACGCGGGCACCGAGCTCGGGGCTGCAGGCGAATAGTTAATGTTTTTTTTTTTTCGCACTACTTTTTTTTTTTTTTTTTTTNTTTTAGAGGTTATTGACTCGGGGGTTCTATGGAGGTCGGACTATCCCCGCCACCATTTTGTTCGGCGGAACGCTGCAATTTGAAAATCTACCCTCGTAATAGGTACGACGGCGCGACCGCGACGCATGACGCCGCCACACCGCGAGTCGCGACCGCGCGTCGCCGACGTCGTCGTCGTCGTGCGCGGAAGAGACGGGTCGCAGGTAAATACGATTAATTCTCGTTTTTTTTTTTTTCTTTTTCTCTATCCCCTACGGTATATTCGATTATCCTATACGGTTCCTATAATTGTATCGCGTAATAGTTAATAATTAATTTTTTTCAAAAACAAAACAAAAAAAAAAAAAAAACCCCAACGCGTCCGGCGTATCCACCTAATTATTACGGGGCGATAGCAACGACGGCAATAATAATATCGCGGCCGTACGGCAGTCGGTGTTTTGCTCGCGGTCGAAGGTGTGTTATTTATATTGCGTACAACGTTATTACACGGTACGGCGTATACAATGAGTGCACTCACCTGTGTGACGAGGACAAACGCGGCGGGCGAACACGGGTACGTTTCGGACGACGTGACTGCCGGTACTGTTGTTGCGCGGTGGCGGTTTCGCTCGGCCGGCCGCGGTGCCGTCGCCAATAACAATAAACACGGTCGCGCGACGCGACGAAGAGCCGCGGCCTCCTGCACACACGCGTACCGGCGACGCGTGGGTACCTGCGGGGCCACACTATGTCGCGACCGCCGCCGCGGTGGGGACGACGTAGTAAAAACTGCGTCCTCCAGCGAAATACCTAAATAACGTCGCGAGTTGAAAGACAGAGGCGGGAACAAAAAGATTCACACGAGTTATGTTATTTATATTACGAACGTGTACCCGTACTATTGCACGGCGTCCTCAACGTCGTCGTCGCCGCCGCCGCCGCCGCCGCGTCATCGCCGTCACGGGTAGGCCGAACTTGTTCTCGCGTCCGATCGTAAAAACATTATCAAACATTATGCGAAATATATTGGCGAACGCCTGCGGAAAACGTTTTATCGCGAAAACGGCGATTAAAACACACTCCGGAGTCCGAGGTCCGGCTACACAATATTATTATTGTGCGGAACGTCCCGTCAATGACCGTTGTCGATATACCGGGATATATTGACCCTTTTTTCCCCCTTTTTTTTTGTTTTTAGGAATTTTTTTTCGTCGACGTCTTTGTTTACGGGAACGAACCGACTGCCGTTTCGGACATTACACTTTCAAGTGCCTAGGTATGCGTAGGCGTAGAGTACCCCGCCCGTGCGGCGGGACATTATATTCAAACGCCGCACTGCAAACGATGCTCCACTACGTATACGCTGTTCCCCACTCGAACTTAAAAGTGAAAAATCCCGTCGACGGGTAGACGGGGGAAAAAAAAACCAACGCGCCAAAATGTGTTTATGGAATTCGTATTAATGTAGGTCATTCGGAAAACATACGGTCATAGGTATAGTCGGTCCTCCACCCCTCCCAAAAAGAAAAATTAAGAGTGACGACAAACAATGGTAACGTCGCGTTTCAGATTTACTGTCGTTTCGTGAATATTGTCGGGGAGGTGGGGGAAATTATCGCTTTCAAAGATCGTACGTTCGTGGGACGCCCTGTATGCACATACGTATACATAGGTGCCTATGTATTGTAAACGTGTAAATAATATTTTTTATGACGTGCACACGCCCGCAATACCTACGTGATAAATAAATAATAAAATGTTGTACACGGTCTGCGGTAGGTGTGTACCTAAATAGTAAAGGTACCGCGATACTAATAATGTATAGTAGTGACGCACGTCATTATTATTTCGTTCATACGGCCGTTATCGCCGCCGTAACCCACCCCTGGTTCCTGTTTGACATTCACGGGATTCACGGCCAAACGCGCACATGCAAACGTCTACAAGCGAAATACCTGTCCAGTTTTTATCATTCCGAAATCGCCGTTCGATAAACGGTTCTGCGCCCGAGCCGCGGTCTTGTGCCGCCAACGACCGTCCGCGCGGCGCGGCACGTCGCGACCGGCACGCAAACGTTTCGGCCGTATTATTATTATTACACCGACGACCGTCCCGGAAGACCCAGTGGGCCAATTACGAATGACGTGCTTAAAAAATCGATATTCGCGCAATAATGCCGGTGAGAGGACGTACGATATTGTAGGGCCGGTGGCCCGCGGTGCTCGTGCTTGTTAATAAACTGTTGTAAATGCGTATGCATTGTACGCTCGTTTTCGACCGGATAACCGGCTCCAGTCGTTAACCTCGGTGATGGATAGTAAATCCGATTTTGCTTAGTTTGGTACATTGAAGAGGAGGTCATTTTCAAAAATGTTTAAAACTGTAAAAATCATTACTGGTCCGCCTAGACACCCGACCATTTAGATCCGCGTGAGTGGTCCAGATCGCAGATCACCTAGTTCTACGTAGGTCCACCTAGATCCACGGTCAACTTATTCACTGTATACCTAATATCTAAACGACACAAAAACGATCTAGACGATTGGGGATCTAAATGACTACGACCCGACTTCGGGAATTTAATTGACCGTATAGGTCATATATTATAAGAGAACGAATTGTAAAAGGATCTAAATAGCCTAGGTCCTCGATCGTTTAGGTTCTCATGGTTATCTAGACCCCCGTGGTCGACTAGATCCCCATGGATCAATTAGTTGCTCTGTCAACTAATATGGGTAATTTATCTAAATCAACCACGTTAGTTTATAACTAATTCGATAACACTAAAAAAAAAAAATTTTAAATTACCATAGTTATGTAACTTCCACTGCAATGTTTGCCAGATTTATATTAAAAAACAAAATGTAAAATGTACTTGTAACTTGTAATACCGGTGTAATATATTTGATAACTGTAAACAAATTCATGCATGTGGATATGTGGTAACTAAACCAAATTGTTTACCAATAGTACACGAAAACTGAAATCAACAAAAAACATAAATGGCAAACCAAGTGAGATTTAAGAACAATAACAAATTTCCTGCGGTCATCTAGATCCCCGTAGTTATTTAGAATAAATTGACCTATATTAAAGGTAATTTTACAAGAGACCATAATTTGCGTTTTGTATACAACTTGGTTTTTTTCTCGTTATTTTAGTGTTTAAGCGAGATATAAACAAATGTTTAAATGCTGATATTTCACTCGTTCATTAATAATTCATCATAATACTCATTCTAACTGATATTAAAACGAACAACACAAAATCGGCCCTGCAAATTTACTATAGGTATGTTGTACAGTGTTGTCAAAATGCGATTATAAAAAAAAAAACAAGTTTATTAAAAAGCTAGAATAAGCTATTTTTTTTTAAGTACTATATAAGGGCAATTCAAAAATTAAAATTAAACCTGATTTTTTACCAGACTAAGCAGACTGTCAAGAGGTTACCAATATGTGTTTAGATCTCATATATTATTATTTATTTGTTTTTCAAAAAAAAAGAATACTGGGCCTCACTGAGTATTCTCGTGTCTCCAGGGGTTATATAAACATGAGTATAATTATTAATGACATACTCGTATATGTATAGTGTATAGTGCTTACAAATTATTAATCATAATATAATATAAAGAGAAAAAAAAAAGACCGACATACTTCGCACGATCGTAAAAAGTTGGGAAGGTAGGATACTGAGGGGAAATTAATTTGTATCTGTAAGCAACGATAAACCATTGCTTACGAAAAAACAATTATGAGCGGAGTTCAGTTGATAGTGATGCTTTGTCAACAATATTTATGTCATATAATGGTAAAATAATTAAATAGTGTCATTAAATAGCATAATGTATTTTCTTTAATAATATTTGTTTAATAATGTAGCGATTTTTCCATGTTTTTTCCCGGTTTTCACATTTGATGAGAAAATGGAAACATTATCTCCCTAAAGTACCACGCCAAGAAAATTTCCTTTCAGAAAAAGGTCTACATAGTATACATCGGAGTAAGTTTTCTGGTAGAAAAAGTGTTCACATAAAAAAAAAAAATAATAAACGTGTTTGTAAAATCAATACATTATTCGCTACTCTCAGAGTCTAAAAATGTATACCTTATGATCAATAAAACTAAATGTAAAACAAAAATGATTATATTATATAAACTTGAAACCGTAAAAATCATATATAAATTATGACACACAGGAAAGCTATTTTATAATAATAAATTAATGTTAAAGAAAGAAGCCATTTCGTAAAGTCTGTTTTAAATCTATTTAGTGGTTATATATGGTGTGTGTAGGTGATTTGGTATTAAATTTAGAATCTTAGCACCGATAATATTATATTGTTTTCTTAAGACTATTTTATGAGGCCAGTGTATTATATAATTATTTTTGGCAAACTTAATACTACTTCCATGACACAAGGGTGATGGGACATTTTATTTTTTAAAAAAAGGACTGCCGATTTCAAATATAAGTTTTTGATACTTAGGATATTAAAATCGTCATGCAGTTGTATCGTATGCTATTTTTTATGTTTTTTTTGAGGCGATCCTAATTATTAAAGTACATATACTTTATTCGTTATATGTGTTTGTGTTTCTTTATTTAACAATAATCTCTAACTGCATACAGTTTTTGTTATTTATTGTAAAATACTAAAATCATTATTTAATTGTTTATATTATATAATAATCCTTATATAAGATTCGACTAATGTGTAAAATTGGATGTCTTCTTTTCGTTCAGTAGAACCGATTTTATGATGTTAGTTTAAATATTAGAGTGAATTTGCCTATTATCAAACTTAAAGATAAGAACAATTGAATTTCTGTACTTGTTTGTTGGTTTTTGTACGATAACAATTTAAATAATTTTGAATTCAACAATATTTTGGTTGTGTATAAAATGAAATTAAAACGTCGACAGAAAAATATGTATAGAACGATAAATTATTTAAAATATGTTTCTAAAAGTTTAAAATGGAAGAAATACCTACGCTCTAAAATAAATAAAACCTCGAAACATGCATTTATATGCAAAATAAAATTTCAAAACTAGCTTTGTGAAAGCATGAAACGTATTTGTTTGTATTTGCTATTTTTGTTCATGTGCAATACAAATATCCTCTGCCTTACTGATAACAATAAGTTAATAAACTTTTTTCGAAGTATTATCACTGAATCTTTGTATTATAGGTACATAGTATAAAAAAATATTATTTAAATTAAGTCTAGAATGACCAAAATAACTACTCATTTTTATTATTTGCAGCTAAAAAGCTTTATAAATGGATATTTTCAGAATTAGACACACATTGGATAAATCTAAAACTATCTTTAAAATAAGCTAATTTAAAACCAAACGTTTTTAAGACGGAGACAGCACCTATCATTATGCGGGTATCACGTTGATCCAGATCGTAACTAAAGATATTTAGAGGGGGGGGCAAAAATAATAATTTGTATTATTACCTACTATTTTTTACCATGCTATATGTTAACTTACTCGGAAAGAAAAAGTTTAAAGCTTATGATCGATTTTTGACCCACTTTCCGTGGTCCGACCAACTTGAAATTTTGCATGCACTTATGTTTTCGATGACAATACAATAATCACTAATCAGACTCAGAATTTTATCCTCATTTTTAAAAGTGGTGGAAAATAGTTTTCACATTAAATAGTTATTGG